GTGTCATTCTTCTTTCATTAATTAAGTTATGAAACATTGAACAAAAGATAGCGTCCAGATTGTGCGAAATGTTTTAGAAAATACAGTAAGTTATTAGTCTGATATTTAATAAAATATTTAAACCGCACTTATTAAATGCTTAGTTATATAATTACAAATCAGCTGAAAGAGATTTAAAAAGTTCTCTAGTTTCTAGGTTCTGCATGTCAACAAGTTGTGCTGCACAATTTAAAGTGTGCAAATAATGTCAATCGTGCTGTTGTCATGTAACCTTATATGGTAGTGTAACTATGGTTACATAACCTTATATGGTAGTGTAACTGTAGCCAGTCCACACCCTGCTCCGTAATATGAAAAATTTGTATTAATTCTAGATGAAAAGCTCGAATATAAAGTAATTCTTTACAATTTTAAAGTATGAAAAGAGCATGACATCTCAATCGCACTGTTTTGATTATAATCTTTACAATTACAGTACAGTACAGTTAAAAGACTTTGGATGTGTCAACGGGCAGCATTGTCTCAAGTATAGATTTATAAATTTTATACATATATTATATTATATATAATAATACATTATAATAAGTAAAACCAGCGTTTAAACGAAGGTAACACTAAAGATCCAGCTAATATCATTCGCGTTGGTGAGGTTTAACAAGTCCAACTAAAATAGAGTTTAATGCTCGCCGTGTTTGAAGAAATGTACCCATCACTAACTAGTTACTACTACTACTCTCTTAGTGATGTGTGTTGTATAGAGCTGTTTAACACTGCCCCTACAACTGTTGTGAGCTGTTGTGGCACCTAGTATAGTTGTGGCACCTAGTATAGTTGTGGCACCTAGTATAGTTGTGGCACCTAGTATAGTTGTGGCACCTAGTATAGTTGTGGCACCTAGTATAGTTGTGGCACATAGTATAGTTGTGGCACCTAGTATAGTTGTGGCACCTAGTATAGTTGTGGCACCTAGTATAGTTGTGGCACATAGTATAGTTGTGGCACATAGTATAGTTGTGGCACCTAGTATAGTTGTGGCACATAGTATAGTTGTGGCACCTAGTATAGTTGTGGCACATAGTATAGTTGTGGCACATAGTATAGTTGTGGCACATAGTATAATTGTGGCACCTAGTATAGTTGTGGCACATAGTATAGTTGTGGCTCAGCTAGTTGTAGCTGAGTGGCACCTAGTATAGTTGTGGCACCTAGTATAGTTGTGGCACCTAGTATAGTTGTGGCACCTAGTATAGTTGTGGCACATAATATAATTGTGGCACCTAGTATAGTTGTGGCACATAGTATAGTTGTAGCAGCACATAGTATAATTGTGGCACCTAGTATAGTTGTGGCACCTAGTATAGTTGTGGCACATAGTATAGTTGTGGCACATAGTATAGTTGTGGCACATAGTATAATTGTGGCACCTAGCATAGTTGTGGCACATAGTATAGTTGTGGCTCATAGTATAGTTGTGGCACCTAGTATAGTTGTGGCACCTAGTATAGTTGTGGCACATAGTATAGTTGTGGCACATAGTATAGTTGTGGCACCTAGTATAGTTGTGGCACATAGTATAGTTGTGGCACATAGTATAGTTGTGGCTCAGCTAGTTGTAGCTGTTGTGGCACCTAGTATAGTTGTGGCACATAGTATAGTTGTGGCACCTAGTATTATAGTTGTGGCTCAGCTAGTTGTAGCTGAGTGGCACCTTGTATAGTTGTGGCACCTAGTATAGTTGTGGCACCTAGTATAGTTGTGGCACCTAGTATAGTTGTGGCACATAGTATAGTTGTGGCACATAGTATAGTTGTGGCACCTAGTATAGTTGTGGCACATAGTATAGTTGTGGCACATAGTATAGTTGTGGCTCAGCTAGTTGTAGCTGTTGTGGCACCTAGTATAGTTGTGGCACATAGTATAGTTGTGGCACCTAGTATTATAGTTGTGGCTCAGCTAGTTGTAGCTGAGTGGCACCTTGTATAGTTGTGGCACCTAGTATAGTTGTGGCACATAGTATAGTTGTGGCACATAGTATAGTTGTGGCACCTAGTATTATAGTTGTGGCTCAGCTAGTTGTAGCTGAGTGGCACCTTGTATAGTTGTGGCACCTAGTATAGTTGTGGCACCTAGTATTATAGTTGTGGCTCAGCTAGTTGTAGCTGAGTGGCACCTAGCTAGCTGTTGTGGCACCTAGTATTATAGTTGTGGCTCAGAGCTAGTTGTAGCTGAGTGGCACCTTGTATAGTTGTGGCTATATTATTCTTTATTATTAGTTGTAGCTGAGTCAGCACAGTCAGTACTAAACTGTTTGTAGAGATAGTTCATGTTGTTATCCAGTACTATACCGTGAAAAGTTAATATTTTACAGCAGTTGACGGCGAACTTCATGTTTATTAAATGTTTATTAACAAACCAGGATATAAACACCACACCAGTTTAAAAAAAGGCAATTAATGTACAACATGTAATTGGTGGAAAGTGCAAACCGCGGCTTAACACAATTACGTCCGTGTTATGACATGGATATAGCTGAATACATAACATATAATAGCTAAATACATGCGATTATACATGCGATTATACATACGATTATACATTATACAGGGGGGGGGGGGGGGGCAAAGTCAGTACCCATACGTTGGCCTTAATAGCTCAATCACTGAGTGCCCAATTGAAATAATTCTTCCTGGTATGACTTACTACCACCACTGGTTCGAGGAATTTGTCAACTCGAAAAATATTCGTGTTCATTTTATACATTAGTTGTATAAGTACAAGAGCCAAATAACGGAACTGGTCCGGATTGTATTATCTAGTCCGGATATAATTATCTAGTCCGGATATTATCTAGTCCGGATATTATCTAGCCCGGATATTATCTAATCCGGATATTATCTAGTCCGGATATTATCTAGTCCGGATATTATCTAGCCTGGATATTATCTAGTCCGGATATCATCTAGTCCGGATATTATCTAGTCCGGATATTATCTAGTCCGGATATTATCTAGTCCAGATTCTATCTAGTCCGGATATTATCTAGTCCATATATTATCTAGCCCGGATATTATCTAGTCCGGATATTATCTAGTCCGGATATTATCTAGTCCGGATATTATCTAGCCCGGATATTATCTAGTCCGGATATTATCTAGTCCAGATATTATCTAGCCCGGATATTATCTAGTCCGGATAATATCTAGTCCGAATATTATCTAGTCCGAATCCCAGGTCAATATCATTACATATTTCGCATATTAATATACGACATATTTCGAAGGAAAACCACGACAAAACAAAATTATTGTTAAATTTTGTTACAAATTAATTTAATTTCAGAAATAGTTGATTACAAAATTCCTTTTAAAAAAAATTTTTCGAAAAAATTTCTTGAAAAAATTTTGCGAATATTTTGATATTTTCATGACATCCGAAATCATGACATCCGAAATCTTGACATTTGTCATGATTTACAAATATCTGAGAAAGTTCACGCATATTTTTACCTGTATTTTACAGGCAAAACTTGACATGAAAAACGTCCACGCATATTTGATCAGATGAACGTATATTTGACATGTATTTAAATATCTGACGGGGATATCATATAAAAAATATCCTTGTGTTTGAAAAATTATATCAAAATAGTTACGAATTTTTTAATAAATTTTTCTAGGACTCGCCTGTAGCAGGCTTTGTCCCCCTGGATCGGGCTCTGCTAATTTGGATCATTGTGGGGCCCAAAAATTCCCCATCGGGTGATAAAAACCATGACATATTTCACCCAGATATAATAATATACGACATATTTTTAATGATATTGACCTGGGGTCCGAATATTATCTAGTCCGGGGATTACATGTCCGGTGTTCAGTTTTATACTGGCTCGCTTTTTTTTTTTTTTTTTTTTTAAATACTGGCTCGTATCCGGAGATTGTTAATTATTTAATTGACAATAGCACCATTTTCAGCCGGAGATATTTACAATAAATGTACAGTTTTCAGCAGCAATTAATACAACCAACTTTATCACGTGATCACGCAGTGTTAAATTTCTACAAACTTCCTTCTTATTACACTCATTACTTTATTACTGACGAATTGTTTGTATGTATTTCATTACTTCACTATCATTGATTTGACAACTGTACAATGTACATGCCAAATGATTTTACTTGTAAATTGAATCTGCGACCAATAATATCACCCTCGCAATACTGCTATTGAATCATCACAATACAAGCATTTACCAATTAAAGTTATTAAAATAGCACATTTAACACTATTACTCTGTGTAAAATTAACTGGCACCAGTAAAAGCAAGAGGAAAGTCTCTAGATGGTAATTTAAGTAAGCTCTGTTAATTAGATAACCTCGTTCATATTGAACTTTACACTGATTTCCCAGGGGACTGCTACCAGGGGACTGCTACCAGTTTCAAGGACTTTAGAGAGAGAGATGTTACTTAAAGTCATGTGATAAGACACACAAGCAGTGTATTTAACGAACATGAACATAATATAAACAAGATATTACTTTCCAAAAAAAGGAATCCTGTTGGACATGCAATATAATGGAGTTTTTAGCTGAAAAATATATTAGAGGATTGTTCTCGACTTTTCAGAAAAATACACCTCGTACAGGTGCGAGATTATGGAAGGTTTGACCTCACTTTAATACTTACTTACTTTCTTTGTTTACATAGTTAAAAAAAGAAGACACTCTTTATAATTCAAGAATCATCCCACCACTATTGCCATGCCCTAGTTTACTTGGAACACCTCACTCAAAATAGCTGAAACCACCACTGCAAACTCAACCACATTGCACAACCATCTGAGTAACATAGCTTAAAACCACTCAAAACAGTTACCATAGCAACGCGGCCAGTAACCATAGCAACGCGGCCAGTAACCATAGCAACGCGGCCAGTAACCATAGCAACGCGGCCAGTAACCATAGCAACGCGGCCAGTTACCACAGCATCACACGTGACTTACCATTATCCAGCTCGGACACTAGAGCTAGAAGATTGGACATACTTTCCAGACTACGTGTTTTGCGAGCTGAAACACAAGCTCACAACACAATATCACAGGTTACTTGTAAATACAGTACAGTTACATGTACAGAGTGGAGGGTAACCATAGTTACATTAAGTAACCATGGTAACCAGAGGGAGGGTAACGTTATAATTAGGTAGAATCATTACCCTCTATTGTACAAAAACTGGTTACTAAGCGTTACAATAACTGGTTACTAAGCGTTACAATAACTAGTTACTAGGTGTGACAAGAACTGGTTACTAGGTGTGACAAGAACTGGTTACTAGGTGTGACAAGAACAGGTTACTAAGCGTTACAAAAACAGGTTACTAAGCGTTACAATAACTGGTTACTAAGCCTTACAATAACTAGTTACTGGGTGTGACAAGAACTGGTTACTAAGTGTGACAAGAACTGGTTACTAGGTGTGACAAGAACAGGTTACTAGGTGTGACAAGAACTGGTTACTAAGCGCTACAAGAACTAGTTACTAAGTGTGACAAGAACTGGTTACTAGGTGTGACGAGAACTGGTTAATAGGTGTGACAAGAACTGGTTACTAAGTGTGACAACTTAATACTGCTGAGCTACACGGCACACATTTCCATAAAAATTCCTCACATAATATAATATGATTCACTTAAAACTAAGTAATTCCAATTCAAGTGAAGAATAAAATCGACAATAATAATGAACAGTGATTGAACTTACTGTTTGAAGATTTCTTGCCATCCACACTTGAACTGCGTCTGTGAACCATCTTCTGAACTGAAAACATGGATAATTTTGAAATGTAGCCGTCTTTTGAACTTGTATAAACGAAATATTTATAATATAATTGGTACAACATTACAAACTGTGTAGTTATTTTACACAGGGTAGGTATTATAATACATATTTGTATGTTATACATATTTGTATATTCTAGGAAGTTGTAAAGTATTTAAAAGCAACGTAATTTGTAATCATGTAATACTCATGCAAATCTCGTTTGTCTTTTAAAAGCACTTCAACATCAAGAACAGAGAATTATAAGATTAAGAAATTGTGTGCACAGTATACTGCAGTAAAATCTTGATATTATATAAAAGTATAAGAACATAGTATCGAACTCAACAGCAGAACAACAATCTTTTTTACCCCTTTAAAAACACTCTTATATCGCAAAAAATCTCAGCAAATAACATTTATGATAATATTGTATTTGTAATATTATATGTAGTATACAGATTATACACTGGTATAATATTTTGCAATTATTTTCCTAAAACCGCAATGGTCACTGGAGTTAGTTCTAGTGTAGGAACCTTTATTTGGAACCTCTACTATAGTCTATACTCAATAGTGTAGAAACCTCTACTATAGTCTATACTATATAATGTAGAAACCTCTACTATAGTCTATACTCAATAGTGTAGAAACCTCTACTATAGTCTATACTCTATAGTGTAGAAACCTCTACTATAGTCTATACTCAATAGTGTAGAAACCTCTACTATAGTCTATACTCAATAGTGTAGAAACCTCTACTATAGTCTATACTCAATAGTGTAGAAACCTCTACTATAGTCTATACTCAATAGTGTAGAAACCTCTACTATAGTCTATACTCAATAGTGTAGAAACCTCTATTATAGTCTATACTATATAATGTAGAAACCTCTACTATAGTCTATACTCAATAGTGTAGAAACCTCTACTATAGTCTATACTCAATAGTGTAGAAACCTCTACTATAGTCTATACTCTATAGTGTATAAACCTCTACTATAGTCTATACTCAATAGTGTAGAAACCTCTACTATAGTCTATACTCTATAGTGTAGAAATCTCTACTATAGTCTATACTCTATAGTGTAGAAGCCTCTAATATAGTCTATTCTCAATAGTGTAGAAACCTCTACTATAGTCTATACTCAATAGTGTAGAAACCTCTACTATAGTCTATACTCAATAGTGTAGAAACCTCTACTATAGTCTATACTCTATAGTGTATAAACCTCTACTATAGTCTATACTCAATAGTGTAGAAACCTCTACTATAGTCTATACTCTATAGTGTAGAAATCTCTACTATAGTCTATACTCTATAGTGTAGAAACCTCTAATATAGTCTATTCTCAATAGTGTAGAAACCTCTACTATAGTCTATACTCAATAGTGTAGAAACCTCTACTATAGTCTATACTCAGTAGTGTAGAAACCTCTACTTTAGTCTATACTCTATAGTGTAGAAACCTCTAATATAGTCTATACTCAATAGTGTAGAAACCTCTACTATAGTCTATACTCTATAGTGTAGAAGCCTCTAATATAGTCTATTCTCAATAGTGTAGAAACCTCTACTATAGTCTATACTCAATAGTGTAGAAACCTCTACTATAGTCTATACTCAATAGTGTAGAAACCTCTACTATAGTCTATACTCTATAGTGTATAAACCTCTACTATAGTCATTACTCAATAGTGTAGAAACCTCTACTATAGTCTATACTCTATAGTGTAGAAATCTCTACTATAGTCTATACTCTATAGGGTAGAAACCTCTAATATAGTCTATTCTCAATAGTGTAGAAACCTCTACTATAGTCTATACTCAATAGTGTAGAAACCTCTACTATAGTCTATACTCAGTAGTGTAGAAACCTCTACTTTAGTCTATACTCTATAGTGTAGAAACCTCTAATATAGTCTATACTCAATAGTGTAGAAACCTCTACTATAGTCTATATACTCAATAGTGTAGAAATCTCTACTATAGTCTATACTCTAGAGTGTAGAAACCTCTACTATAGTCTATACTCTATAGTGTAGAAACCTCTACTATAGTCTATACTCTATAGTGTAGAAACCTCTACTTTAGTCTATACTCAATAGTGTAGAAACCTCTACTATAGTCTATACTCTATAGTGTAGAAACCTCTACTTTAGTCTATACTCTATAGTGTAGAAATCTCTACTATAGCGTAGAAACCTCTTTTTATTAGTGAGGCAAACAAGGGGACAAAAGACCATGATAACTTATCATAATATTGTATCTTCTGACAATATATCACTATTCATATTTTTATTTAATAATATCAGTACGTTAAGCTATGTATTTTTGGGGTCAATGGTAATAGTACGCAAAAGTCAATACAAGTATTGATACATGCGAGTTACCTGGACGCGGCGACAAAGAACAATTTTCACTACCTCTACGTAGTTGCTCGAGGTTTAAAGCTGCTGTGGAGATTGAAACCATGTTTATTACAAGATCTAGTTAACGAAACCGAAAGTGAAAGTAAAAGAGAAAGTGAAAGTTGTACACACCCTGACACATACCATATTCTGGAGCACAGTAATGTCTGTGTCTTTGTCTGTGTGTTCGGGAACAGGCTGCTATGTGGTCCTGTATAGTACTGGGCACAACTGAGAGTACACAATAATTTAGTTACAAGTTAGCACTTAATAAACATCAATATGGTTAAAAGGCAAGCGTTATAGCGTTGGATACAGTTCATTATGTTCACTGATTGATTTATATAATTTTTGCCCCCTGCTCCACAGCTGTGAAAACAGTTGAGTAACGGCTATCTAGTGCTACAGCATTACTAATGATAGGCATCACAATATTACAATATTATATTATATATATAGAGATATATCTCTACTATAATTCAGAGAATTATTTCTGTCTGTATGTCTGTACGACCGCCCACGTGCAAATTATACGAGAAATAGGAATTTAGGTAACAACCAAAAGGTTCCATAGCAACGGTGTTTTAATGCACACATGCACGTGCAAAGATTGTTTTAACGTCATTTTGATCGGTTTTGTGGTAATTACGTTGTGTTTAAAGTGTTTTATATTTAAATCGGCTGTATCTTCGATCGAGATGGATATTTTTTGATGCGATTAAAACGTTCTTTCAAAGAATACTACTAGCTTCGTCCCTGTTACCACGGGCTTTCTAGTTATATTATATTATAGACTATTACTTACTTGATCCCAGTTTGATTAAACCATCATGTTGTATAAACACTGTATCAGCTGTTACATATCCATGTGTAATTTCCTTGCTATGCAAATAACTGAAATGATACCAAATGAGCAAATGGGGACCAAATGTTATCACATTTTAGATTAATCATATTTTGACTTGAACCAAAATATTTTCAAATTTTTTCCATAACTAACAGGAAACATCTGAAACAAATCTTCAGTCATTTAAAACAGCTGCACAAACTGGTTATCATGGTAATACTGGCACAAACAGATGTACAGACCTGACAGCTGAGAGGATCTGCCGGCACCATCTCTTCCAAAGTGTCTCATTAATACGTGTCTTGTTGACTTGGAAACGCCGCTGTATGAAGGTATGAAGGGATCCGGCTGAGTAGTACTCTGTGGTGAATACTACCTTGCTCTGCTCTTTATTGTACCAACTACCGTACAGCTTCAGTAGGTTGGGGTGCTGAAAACGTTGTGTTTAGAGTGATACAAATATTAAAGATATGAGTATTCAGTGAGAATGTCACTGATGTCATCAATAGCAAAAACTTCAAAGTTAGAGCAGTTTGCAACAGTAACCTCGACTTTGGTGAGTTTGATTAGTTTTTCGCAGAGCTTAACAAGGTTGTCATCTTCAAGAGGAACACAAGCAATGGTTATCTCATTCCATACAACCTCCACCCCCTCTTCCATATCCATAGCCTGATACAGTGCATCTATACCCGGTACATCTGCAAGCTGAAATTTAGATAAATAGTAAACAAATATGTCGATAAATTACGTACTAAAATTTGGATAAAATACAGGTCCTATTTAAACAGTTATATAATCATAATGATATGTAGACATCTTATTATCTACCCCTGCAACCGGACAATTATTTTGGCGCTACATGCAAGTTTGCTTGTAAATCTAAAGTTAAAACCAATAGTTTAAAAGAAGAATCTTCTCTTGTCTTTAGTTATAAGGTATATAAAACAATTACCCTGACATTCCTGCGATGCCATCTGCCACAGGGACTCTCTTCTTTGTATGCATCTTCTTCGTCAGATGTTATAGACCCCTCCAATGACATGATGTCACAAAATTGCCATTATAATACTATGTAACTGGGAGATAGGCTATGTTAATGTAACTGACGGTTGTATCTAGTCTTTTGCCCATATCAAAAGTATTCAAACAATATACACATAATATCAGTCATCCAATGACCATATATACCAGGGGTAAACTCTTGAAATTATTCAGAATATTCTATGAATTGAATGAGCTGGAACAACTTAGCTCAAATTGTTAATTAAGCGTTTGGGTTTTCTGTACAGGCAAAACCATTCCTTACAACCGAATCAACAGACAGCATGTATCTTTTCCTATTTGCTTACTTTTAATACTTTCAACACTACTATATAACAAATAATTTGAGGTATGTCCAATGAACTCATGTCACCTAAAATGTCACCTAATTTGGCTTTCTAATTCCTAATATGTCTTCCTCAATTCCTAATGACAAGAAACCATTCACATCTTCTTCAAGGTACGGACTTCGACATCACATCAGACCAGAAAAACCCTTATCAATTAAAACTCAAGTCAGATCAGAAAATCCTTTGTCAATTAAACGTCAAGTCAGATTAGAAAAACCCTTGTCAAATAAATCTCAATCCCAAGTAGTAGACTCAGTAAAAGTAGTAGAAACATATCATTCTGTTGAAGTAGGAACTTCTAACAATCATAGCCCAGTTGAGGCTCCAATCAGAAATGGAAGCAACCCTGATGCCCCTTCTGTTGTGTATCCATGTGGTAAATGCTCTCATGATGTCACCGGCTTCGAATGCGTTAAGTGTGATGGTCCCTGTGAAAAATGGTATCATACTAAGTGTTGTATGCACAAAAAAACTTTTGAAAAACTTGGGCAACACTCAGAAGTAATGTGGGTATGTAAGAATTGTAAGGCCCTAGAGAAGAAACCGGCTAAGCTAGTTAAAGTAGTTAAATGGGGTAATTATGCTTCTTTAAGTGAGATATCCAATGCTGCTGATTTAGCCTACAGTGAAATTATGAAATGGACCAAGAACATGTTCCTAGTGCCACGGGGCAAAGTGGGCAACGCCTTCATTTTTGAAGTAAGCAGATTACTCAACCTGTTTAATGACAAGACAGAATGGGAGAGTATAGCGTTGAGATTACTATTTATCTTCATTCCTATGATGCTGCAAAAACCATCTAAAAACTCTCGTGCAAAGGATCACAACATCTATCTTGATAAAAGGCTCAAGTTATGGAAAGTTGGGGACTTGAACGCTATAATCAGTGAAGGGTGTGAGATTCAGAAACGACTTGAAGAAACACGTAAAGCCCAGGAGAGATCCCTTGCTACCAAGTTTGCACAGCTCATGATCCATGGCAAAGTCTCAGCAGCAACCAGTCTCATAAATCGTCAAAGTGGTGGACTGTTGGATGTTGATGAAACGGTTATTGGACAGCTAAAGGAAAAGCATCCCTCTGCTATGAATGCAGCAGATGAAATTTTGATCACAGGTAACAAAGTGGCAGTCGAAGAAGTTATCTTTGAAGCCATCGATTCAATGTTAGTGAAAAAGGCTGCTAAGCTGACATCAGGATCAGGTGGACCAACACTAGTAGATTCAGAGTGCTGGCAGCACATCCTGTGTTGTAGTGCATTTAGTAAATCCCAAGAGCTTGTCGCTGAAGCAATTGCCAGATTAGCCAGGCGTGTATGTACTGAAGATGTAGATTTCAAATCAATAGCAGTGCTCACAGCTGGTAGGCTTGTCCCCTTAGATAAATGTCCAGGCCTAAGACCAATTGGTATTGGTGAGATCCTGAGACGGATTATTGGGAAGTGTGTGATGATGGTATTAAAAAAAGATGTTCAGAAGAATGCTGGACCACTTCAAACATGTGCAGGCCATGAAGGGGGGATCGAGGCAGCAATACATGCTATGGCAGAGGTGCACGATGATGAGGACACGGAAGCCATTTTGTTAGTGGATGCTTCCAACGCATTCAACGCTCTCAATAGGACTGCTGCTACCAACAACATGCAGTATGTTTGCCCACCACTTGCTAAATATTTTGAGAACACCTACAGAGAACCAACAGACCTTTATGTGGCAAACAGCAAGGGAGTGATCATCAAGAGCTGCGAAGGTTTCACTCAAGGAGACAATATTGCCACTGGTGGATATGCTCTTAGCACCAAGCCACTTATCGACCGCCTGAGAAACATCATCAAACAGGTGTGGTTTGCCGATGATAGTGCTGCTGGAGGGAAATTGGAGGCAGTGTATAAGTGGTGGAAGGAGTTGCTCCAAGTTGGACCTAAGTATGGTTATTTTCCTAACCCATCTAAAAGCATTCTAGTAGTGAAGGACCCTCAGATGATCGACCAGGCCAAGGCATTGTTTGGAGAGTTCAATATGCAAATAACATCAGGCACAAGGCATCTTGGTGCAGTACTTGGCAATACAGGTGTCAAAGATCAGTACATTGCCGATAAGGTCCAAGGGTGGTGCGAAGACATCAAGATGCTAGCTGATATTGCAGAATCTGAGCCTCAAGCAGCCTATTCAGCCTACATCTCTGGCATACAACACCGATGGAAGTTTGTTCAAAGGACTGTTCCTCATATCTCTGAAGCCATGGAGCCGCTAGAACATGAAATAAGACAAAAGCTTCTGCCAAAGATGCTGGGCAGGGAGATTTCAGACTTAGAGAGGGACGTGTTAAGTCTACCAATAAGATTGGGAGGATTGGGCATTGGTAAACCCCACGAGGAATGCCAGTCTGAGTACACAGCTTCCAAGCTACTCACCACCGAGCTTACAAAGGCAATAGTGGACCAACAGGAAGTTTACACTGCATCCAGTAACCTCACCAAATCAGGGAAAGAAATGATAAAAAATTTGAAGAATTCCGAGCTCCAAGCCAAGTTTAACGCTATAGCTGAAAGATGTGGCACCTCCTCTAAGAGAGCACTACTAACAGCAAGAGAAAAGGGAGCGTCCAGTTGGCTTAACACATTGCCACTTCAGCAGTATGGCTACACTCTGAACAAAGAGGAGTTTCGAGACAGTGTCTGCTTACGCTACAGTTGGTGGATACCAAACACTCCCATCACCTGTGGATGTGGGAAAACAAGTGATCTTGACCACCTTCTCACCTGTAAGCTAGGGGGCTACGTGATAATGACCCACAACAACATCAGAGACACAATGGCAAATCTACTTCGTGAGGTATGTCATGATGTAAAAGTTGAACCCCAGCTACAGAAGGTGAATGAGGGTGACTGCCTCAACCCCAAGACTATAACAGGTGACCAAGCTCGGCTTGATGTATCTGCTAGAGGAGTTTGGACTCCATTTGATAAGACCTTTCTTGACATAAGGGTTTCACACCCCAATTGCTTATCAAACAGGACAAAAACTCTTCAAGAAGTATACGAAGAGAACGAGAAAGAGAAGAAGGACGAGTACTTGGAGAGAGTGTTGAATGTGGAGAAGGCTACCTTCACCCCGGCTGTATTCCTCACATCTGGAGGAATGTCTAAAGAGTGTAAGCAGTTCGTCAACAGAGTAGCAGACCTCATTGCAAGAAAAAGGAAGGAAAGGTACTGCGATGTAGTAAGACACGTGAGAACTAGGATAAGATTTGCAATGTTGAGAACAACTCTTATTGCTCTACGAGGGTACCGAGGAAAGAAGGTGGACACCAAACGTGAGATTCAGCTATCAGAAGTTTCATACAACCCCATCCCTGCCCCTATAATGGAGTAGATCATGTGTTTTGTTAAAATGTTTTTGAAAAAATTATTAGTAGCAATGAATTGTGCTCTGCCAATTGCAACACTTAAAATTTGATTGTGCTCTGCCAATTGCATCACTTGATTTAATTGAATGTATATATATACTTGATTTCTCTTGGAGAATTTCTCTTTAGACTCTTAACTTGCGAACAAATTGAAGCAGCAAACTTTAGGCTAGAAACTTTATTGAATTGAAATAATCATTCCACGTAACAACGTCTTCTTCAGTTCTGTAATAAAATTGTTAAACATGTGTAAAAATTAACGACGGAAAGAAATTTAAAATAACATTAAAACAAAAACAGAGAAATAAAATTTACGAAATATGACCCAAAAAATGTAATTGCAAAAAATGTCAAAACAACAAAAAATACGACAAGAAGAAATGTAAGCTAATACAACTAAATACTGTACTACTCATGATACTAAACTAATTAGTAAACGTAAAACTGGTTGTTCAGAATTCACAGTTCATGTGTAAAAACTAATGATAAAATCAGCACTTAAGCAACGATAACTCGGTTGTCATGGTTACTATCCAAGATAGTCCTATCAATACATTATTTACTAGTTAAACATTGACTAAATATTTGTACAAATAACTCAACTCAGAACGATCATTCATTTCAGGACTTAATCTCAATATATACATCGCTTCTACAATCTTTCTACGAACAGTTTTACTCTGTAAATCAAGTAACTTAAAAGATAAAACTGGGGTTCGGTTAGGATGTAGAGATGCGTAGTGCTGTCCAACCCCATTCTCTGGATGTGCTCTAGGATTCCTAGCAGCCTGTCTGTGCTCCATCAGACGAGCATGGAGGCTTCTCTCAGTTTCCCCACAGTATCTCTTACCACATAACTCGCAAGTAACTAAGTAAATAGCTCCTTTTGTTGAGCATGTTGTTCCTGTGAGTCTAGGGCAGATCTCACAATTGTTAGGGTTACCAAGGTCACAAGTTCTTTACAGCGGATGTATCAGCTTTGTATACGAATTTGAATATCAATGAGTGTATTGAGACAGTTATTGAATTTGCAGAAGAACATTGGAGTAAGTTAAGTACGTATGGTTAAAGTTTATCAGAAATTAGAGGTATCTTTACAGTAGTTTTGACGAATTCTTATTTTACATTTAATGGGAGACTTTATAAACAACTTTTAGGTTTATTCATGGGTTGTAGACCATCCCCTCCTGTAGCGATTATTAGAATGTGGAAATTCGAGCGTAATAGTATATATTGAGACAGTTATTACATCAGTAACCCTGTTCGGTTCTTATACAAACGGTATGTAGATGATGCTGGTTCCTTAGCCAAATCCAGAGAAGAAGCACTGGATATGTTACAACGCATAGCCGACCAGGATCCCGATAACAGAATCAAGTGGGAGATCGAGTTCCCGTCTACCCCTGCGGATTTTGTCCCGTTCCTGAGTACGGAAATCCGGATCGATGAGGAAGGAAAAGTGTACCACAGATTCTACAGGAAAACCCAGAATAAGGGGATAACATTACACCAGAAGTCACACCACCCGGACTCAGTGAAGGAGGAGTGTAAGAAGAACTTCTACCGTAATGCCACCATTGCTTCCTCAGGACCCCAGGAACTCGATCATTCAGTTAAGATCATCGATGATCTCTTAAAGAAAAATGGACACCAACCTCTGAGTCATAACGCAAGGAACAGGAGGACTAGGAGAAGACGTCAAACCACACCTGACTCTGTCCCACTCACCTTACCATTCATCTCTGGAACAGTTTGTAATAAGATTCGCAACTACATCAAATCTAACAAACTCCCCATCAGAGTTATTTTTACACCTGGTAAGAAGTTACAGGACATCTTCTGCCGCTCTCGTCCACTGGATAAGAAGACTTGTGACCTTGGTAACCCTAACAATTGTGAGATCTGCCCTAGACTCACAGGAACAACATGCTCAACAAAAGGAGCTATTTACTTAGTTACTTGCGAGTTATGTGGTAAGAGATACTGTGGGGAAACTGAGAGAAGCCTCCATGCTCGTCTGATGGAGCACAGACAGGCTGCTAGGAATCCTAGAGCACATCCAGAGAATGGGGTTGGACAGCACTACGCATCTCTACATCCTAACCGAACCCCAGTTTTATCTTTCTAGTTACTTGATTTACAGAGTAAAACTGTTCGTAGAAAGATTGTAGAAGCGATGTATATATTGAGATTAAGTCCTGAAATGAATGATCGTTCTGAGTTGAGTTATTTGTACAAATATTTAGTCAATGTTTAACTAGTAAATAATGTATTGATAGGACTATCTTGGATAGTAACCATGACAACCGAGTTATCGTTGCTTAAGTGCTGATTTTATCATTAGTTTTTACACATGAACTGTGAATTCTGAACAACCAGTTTTACGTTTACTAATTAGTTTAGTATCATGAGTAGTACAATACTTGGGGGCAAAATGTTGGAATAATGTTCCAACAGATCTACGAAATCTGCCCGATGTTAAAAGCTTTAGTGATTCGTATAAGAAACAGTTACTCTCATCTATAACAACAGACCCTAATTATACCGTCGACAATTCATATGACAAATTTTACACTGCAATCATAGTCGACGATAACTAAGTATCTTCTAATTCTTTTAAATCTGAGGCATATATAATTGATGTATCGAAAGGATTTTCCCTTTTTTACCACCTTACCGTTTTGATTGATTTTGCACATGACTGACATGTTTTAACTGGAGAAAGGGTTCGCACAGTGGTAGTTTTATAGACCACTTTTAATTTATTGACCTATTATACCTAGTGGTAGTTTTATAGACCACATTTAATTTATTTATTTATTATACTAAGTATTTATTTTTGGTGACTGTATCACCCAGTTTTAACATTTGATAATTGTACAGTTTATTGACGACACATTGACTGAATGTTATTTTATATTCTAATTTATATTCTAGATATTTTATTTATTTTTCAACAGACGAAGCTTCCTGTTTTTTCTTCTATATTAGTTACTCATATCTCTTTTACAGACTTTTTTACAAGGACATTGACAGATGATACTCACATTAGGCATTCATTATTGCATCTAAATTATCTCACTTGCATTAAATTAGGTTTAGAAATTTATTCTCTGGTTAACAGATTTCAAATGTTTAATTAATTTGTAGTATGACAGTAAGGTATATAAGAAGTTATTTAATTTTGCTTGGGCTATTATATTGACTATTGAGGTTTAATGATGATATGGAATTTGAATTCTATATAAATTTACACTATGTGGTTGGGGCATTTTGCATAGTAAATATGGTTACTACTCCTATATATCATATTATTTGATTGGTATTCGATTTCTGATTATTTCTCTAGGAATATGATTATTATATCTCAATTTGGCTTTAGGTAGGGTGCCCCGCTAAAAGAACTGGATTCTTCCAGGAAGCATCCCGTGCACAGACCTTGGTCTACATATATAATATCAAATTATTAACCATTCATTCTGTATGTGCACGAAAATTTATTTCAATCAAGTACAGTATTTAGTTGTATTAGCTTACATTTCTTCTTGTCGTATTTTTTGTTGTTTTGACATTTTTTGCAATTACATTTTTTGGGTCATATTTCGTAAATTTTATTTCTCTGTTTTTGTTTTAATGTTATTTTAAATTTCTTTCCGTCGTTAATTTTTACACATGTTTAACAATTTTATTACAGAACTGAAGAAGACGTTGTTACGTGGAATGATTATTTCAATTCAATAAAGTTTCTAGCCTAAAGTTTGCTGCTTCAATTTGTTCGCAAGTTAAGAGTCTAAAGAGAAATTCTCCATAGAAAAAAATCTACCAAGAGAAATCAAGTTCAAATGCGACTCATAAATATAGCCCCCTTGAACTATATATATATACTGTTTGACATATTTTTCTTTAAGAATTTTCTTACTGATAGCTTGAAAATATCCATTACATCCATTGAAGCATTGAGGTCATCTACAAGTAGTGAGTTTGACAGGGTATAAAAAGTGAGTTTGGCAGGTTGGGAATTGCCCCCAAGCTTTTTGACATCCTAAGGTACAACAAGAAGTAAACTAAAAAATATTTGTATCAGCAAACAAAATTTGGATGGCCTTGTGTAAGGTTGTATCACGTTGCGACCCCCACGGTCGTTTCACTATGGTGACGATACAGGGGGATACAGGGGCGGCGGGTCATACAACGTATGACAAGTGTAAGGATAGATGAGACGTATAGTATTTTTGTTTTGAATTGGCCTTTACTCTCGCAAAACTATCACCTTTAAGATTTGCCATAAGTTTTAATCGTTTTCAACAGATCAGAGTAAGTTAAAAAATATTGTAACAAAGATTCTATATAACACTCATAATCAATACAGTAAATTCAAATATTCATATTAGTTATATTACCAGTAGTATACTACTGATTGACGATGTCAACCCTTCCAGATCTTTGCTCTGCGAATTAACAGAGCAACGATCTTCGATTGGCAATGTGAGCTGCTTTACAGTTGTAGGTTTACAACCTACCAGGACGCGTGCCGAGTTGGACTCGTCGACGGTCCTGTATATGGAACAGATATTTTACGAGTATCACCCGTTAATATTTAACTCGCGGCTTTTCACTTTTGGAGTTGTAAAAGTCGCTTCATTTGATGAAATTCATTAACAATTAAACCGTTTGTAATCATTTTGTTATATTTTGAATTCCTGAACTAAAATCATGCCAATAATTAACGCAAAAGTCTTTTAATTAATTAAACAGAACAAATTTGTAAGTTTATAACCTACCAAGACGCGCGCCGAGTTGGACTCTTCAACGGTCTCGAAACGAATATTTTACGAATATCACCCGTTAAGAACAAATAAAACGGCGGTCGCGGTTAAAATTTTGTTCTGGCAAAAATTAGCGCTAAAATACCTCATCTATATTAATTGTTAATGGATTAATCCGGCGCGCGCTACTTCGAAGCACTTGTCTCGCGCTACTTCGAAGAAATTTAGACGATCAGTAAATACCCATTTTGGTTTATGGTTTAGTGACGGTATCAGATATGGGTTTCGAAGTTGGAAGTAGCGCGCGCCGCGCCGCACAGGAGGAGCAAAGTGCAAAGAAACTGCCACAAACTGCTACAAACTGCTACAAACTGCTACAAACTGCTACAAACTGCTAAAAACTGCTACGAACTGCCAAAAACTGCCAAAAACTGCCACAAACTGCTGCAATCGCGCCCACGCATTCGCGCGCTGTTTGCAGCAGTTATTAGCAGTTTATGGCAGTTGTGGACTGGCAGTTTGTAGCAGTTTGTAGCAATTTGTGGCATGGGCAGTTTCTTTGCACTTTGCTCCTCCTGTGGCCGGATTGGGTGCGATTAAATTTTGACCGGTCTGTGCCATGTGCATGAACATAATGCTTATACGTTTTTGTTTTATGCTTTAGTGTTACTGTTAGAGTTAGTTTTGGTTTTAAAAGTAATCGTGAAGACAATATAAAGATTTGAATTACAAATTTGTGCACTTTAATTTTTATATACTTACCTGTTACCATTAAAATCGAAATCAGCATTTAAAAATGTACATAGAACGATCAAAATCTAATTGCGCCCGCGCCGGGTTAGTTCATATTAACAATGAACAAGTTATAGTTACTGCATACTGAAGGTGATCGCGTCTTCACAGCTATAGCAAATTCAATTGACGGATGTTACTCATCTAAATTTCTTCGAAGTAGCGCGCACCAGGTTAGTCTATTAACAATGGACAACGTTCGCTCGCGCTTAAGTTTACTGATTGCACGCTTGACACGTAACATAATATTAATTCAGCCAACCAGAAGACAGAAATTTGAAAAATTAAAGTCGCAAAATAAAAGTAAAAAAAAAATACAAAACTGCAAGCGAGAGGGCTCTGGTTAGAGCAAGGGTCTAGCCATAGGGTTTTTAGTCATAGACTCTACCAGTAGTATTTCCAAAATGCAGTCCAAACTTATTATATGACTTTAAGGAACTAAAGCTAAATTTAAAAGTAGCTGCATTTCTCCGTTAACAGTTAAACTACAATTTAGAGTTTTTACTTTATGCTTTGGATGATGATTAATCACTTTACACTCAACTGTCACTTGACCAGTGACTTTCTAACCCGTTCTCTAGGTTGACTCTCTAATTAGCCCCACGAAAAACCTCACCGAACCTCCACGCGGTGTGGGGTGGGTGGCTCGAATGGGAGGTGCATGGATGTTTCTAACCTATGCAAAGGAAGGGACTATCCATCTCTACAACAAAGGAAAGGCTCTAATAGCCTCTACTATTACTAACCTAAGAACCGCAGCATACCCGCTTTTCCCACAGGCAAATAACACCTTCCGCAGGAAAATAACACGCTCACAGGCTCACACATGACGTGTAACCCCAGGATTTGGTTTTGGATCGGACACTCAAAATAACGATAGAGAAGCGGTCTACACGCTCACAGGCTACCAAGTCTTGTGTAACCCTGGGACTCTAACACTTAACAGACTCTAACACGCTCACATAACAAGCTTCCACGTCTCGTGTACCCTAGGATTTGGTCTTGGATCGGACACTCAAAACAACGATAGAAGAGCGGTCTGCACGCTCACAGGCTACCATGTCTCGTGTAACCCCAGGATTTGACACGTTCACAGGCTACGACGTTTCGTGTAACCCCAGGATTTAACACGCTCACAGACTACCACGTCTCGTGTAACCCCAGGATTTGACACGTTCACAGGCTACGACGTTTCGTGTAACCCCAGGATTTAACACGCTCACAGGCTACCATATCTCGTGTAACCCTAGGATTCAACACGCTCACAGTCACAGGCTACCACGTCTCGTGTAACCCTAGGACTCTAACACTTAACAGACTCTAACACGCTCACAGGCTTCCACGTCTCGTGTACCCTAGGATTTGGTTTTGGATCGGACACTCAAAACAATGATAGGGCTACCACATCTCGTGTAACCCTAGGATTCAACACGCTCACAGGCTACCACGTCTCGTGTAACCCTAGGACTCTAACACTTAACAGACTCTAACACGCTCACAGGCTTCCACGTCTCGTGTACCCTAGGCACTAGGATTTGGTTTTGGATCGGACACTCAAAACAACGATGGAGGAGCGGTCTACACGCTCACAGGCTACCATGTCTCGTGTAACCCCAGGATTTTACACGTTCACAGGCTACCACGCATCGTGTACCCCAGGATTTGGTTTTGGATCGAACACTCAAAACAATGATAGAGGAGCGGTCTACAGTGAAGTTACAGGAACATTGCATACTCTACAAATTGCACGTAGCAGGCCAAGACCTCCCGTGGAAGTCCCTGTCTCTCCGTCGTTAACCTGGCGGGGTTGCACCAGGGGCGGTGGTAACAGAACTTTAAGACTCTCGGAGTCTGTTGTAGATATCTATGTTTAATATGTATATTTATGGTATATAATTTGGGAGTCTCTCTCTCCGGCAGCAGGAGTTGGAGAATGGGGACGCGTTGTGAAAGCCACCGTAAGGAAGGCTTACTGTCGACGCCGACCAATCAAAAGAAGAACTCTCTAATTAAAATTTGATCTCAGATCTTTTTAGAATGATCTCGAATATCGAGTGTAAAGTGATTTAGCAGTAGCACGCTTGTTATATATGCTTTGTCATACGTTGTATGTGGTAGACCTACCGCGCACGATTGCGCAGCTGTATTACATTGTAGCCACGATACTATTACTATTACTAGCCACTTAGTGAAACGACAATGGGGGTCACGACGTGATACAAGGAACTCGCTATTAAGGTTGTTTCTCGAGCGTGCTAGAAATCACTCTACAGTCGATTCTTAACTGTCATACTCATGATAGCACCTCTCTTTTAATTTTCAAATTCATGATTATTAGAATGACAAAAGAAGAAACAAAACTTGTTTACAATAATATCCTCTTCGTTGTTTGACACAGTTTGTACACAGTACAAATTAAGAAATTACATGTACACATCTGACATATTACATTTAATGTATTACAAGTCATTGTAGCTCAAAGTTGCAAATTTCTTAATGCAAAACTTACAGTGTTTAAATCACATATCATGAGTCAAGGCAAGCGTGAGTAAAATAGTATCGTCAAATGATCTCAAAAAGTGATACAAGTTTAGGAGGAAAAAGTAAAAAAAAACAGTCATGAGCAGGCATTAGAGGGGTAGAACTGTGACGTGTTGCCCATACAAGGTAATCTTACTGTCAAGTATTGACAAGAAGATTGGTCCAATTTTCAGTAATCTAATGATGCAGGATTAACTTACGATCCATGGAGATATTGAGTACCTAATGGACGGATAAACTTTGTTTGATATGTACAGCAATGATCTCATCATTAGATATGATTTCCAGCATTATTCAAGTCTAAACCTGTCGCTGCCGAGCTCGCTTAATCTCATTTTCATTCGCATCGAATTACAATTCAATAATAGCCTTCAGATAATTTACAGGACTTTTTCATATCTGTAATTACAATTGCACACACCGACATTCAAACATTCAATTATATAGCAATTATATAATTATATAATTATATATCAATTATAATCGGGGAACGAGAAATAATTAAATTTTCAGCGCCCTAATGTGTCATGAAGTAACTGGTAAAACCTTCCGCCACTGTTCACTATTCCCGCTCGGGTATAAAACGTTATTATTAGCACTATAACTGGAAACAAGGTGAGAGAGTGAGCTAACCCCGCTAGAACCACCATGTGCTCCTTCATAAACTAAACCAGTTTTGGTAGTCCCTGAAAAGGGGCTCAAACACGTGGTCTCCAGGAAGTTCCTGTATCTGTCCATGTTTAGCCACGTGTGCCAGCGAATGTTCTCGAATCTGATGCGGAGATGACGGACTTTGTTGAGGGACTGCGTGATGAGATCGGAGCAGAAGGGGGAGAGGAAGGGAGGGAGGAGGGGCTCACTGAACACTACATCTCGTTTAGAAGAGAAGGGGGCCCGGCCGCACACCATGCAGTAGAGGAGACATCCCAGAGCCCAGGACGTAGCCTCTAGAGGGGTGTAGTGACGCTGCACCACCGCTTCAGGGGGCAGGAACAGCTCAGTTCCTTGTACTGAGGTATACACTGTCTTACTGTCGCACACTGACGACAGACCAAAGTCTATTAGTTTTATCTGGAGGCTGGATTGGTGCACTAGAATGTTCTGGTGTTTAACATCCCTGTGATCCACTCCAACTGATAAACAGTAAACTAAAGCATCGTACGTTTGCATCAGAATAGTCCGGGACATGGACTCGCTCAGTCTGCTGTGGAGTTTAATAAAAGTCTTCAGATCTACAAAGTTTTCCAGATAGTTCATAGTAAGGACCCAGTGCTGAGGAAGCTTATAACAGCCTACACAGGTCGCTATCTTAGGGTGGCTGAGCCGAGAGAGAAGGTAGATCTCAAGAGGCACTTCATCTCCAGCAGTACTGTCTGGTACCAGTTCCTTTATCTTGCTCCTCTTTATAAACTTAGCCACGTACAGCTTGTTGTCGAGCTTGTTTCGGGTGAGCAGCACGGTACCAAAACTACCACTACCAATGTCCTTCAAGATGGTGTGAGTTTTAGTGAAGGGGCGCAGAAGCAAGTCCAGCAAAACAGCAAACATAGCGACAATCAAAGAACTAGTCGAGAGCACGGGACAATCAGGGAACTGAGGAGTGCTATCACAGGACCAGCTATGTAGTTAATAGTGAGTCACGTGGGCTGCTATGGAGTCACGTGGGTTGCTATGGAGACACGTGGTCCGTTAGCGGGTCACGTGACACGTGTAACGAGGTTTGATTGGACTGTTAGTCTGAGAGATTGCACCACGTCAACAACAACAACAGAAAGGTAGAGTGTTTAGATAAACAGTGAGCTGCAGCGAGGAGAGAGGGTGATTAGCGGTGTATCTCCAGTCAGGTCCTGTGTCTCCAACAGTCTGATCCAGAGTTCAATCACTACAACGAAGAGAAAAGAGAGGAGAAGTGCACAGTAAAGATGAGAATGAGGGGTAACACAAGAACCTTCTATCAGACGTGTACTGAGCAGAGCAGCCCGCACCACATGTGGCTATATGAAATACAATACACCCCGGCACAGCACACAAATTAATGGAGTTACGCGGTCTACTCTGAAAAGTGTGACTAGTATACGTTGTTTAACATGGATCAGCTATCTCAAGACACGCAAACATTGCGGGCCCTCACGTGACATCCCACGTGGGCGCCCACGTGACCGGTCACGTGACCGCGCACTGCTGAGCTGGTAAACTGAGACGCTCTTTCAATTGTGTCCTATTATCTGTACTCCAATTATCTCGACGAGTTTTTACAATGAACTTAGAACATTTACTCGGTACACAACAGACTATAAAGGACATAGGGGGTTTTCAAGGCATGGAAATTCCCTTGCCGTAATCAATGATCTCACGGTGCTCACAAATGATTTTTACGAAATAATTCGATTGTTCGTCTTGGAATTCAATAAATTGTGAACGGTTAGCTGTTGAGATCTGATTACTGTAACATTGCTTAACATCCTGGGTATAAGATCATAGCAGTAAAAATAGCCCCAATAATATTTTGGGTGCTGTCAAGAAATCAGCTTCCGAGTTTTACTCGTCAAGTTATTATCTGGTTAAAGTTACAGGCTTTGAGACTAGATCCAGAGTGGTGTATTTTACCTGCTCATTTATTATCAGAAACTAGAAAACAAGGTTCATGTTACTGAGCTGATCAGATAATGTGACATTTTAACTGTATCCCCCGTTACAACCAGGATCAAACGGAGATAATATCTTCAAACGGAGATATTATCAGAGTCTACCCTTGCAGAGATCGTAGGTTTTGTAATTTAATCAGCTATACAGTGCAATTCTATACTGATTTTACCTAAACTGAGCAGCTGGTGCAGTTTGTACGATTTCGAAATATTTCTTAAAATCGAGTCTTCATTAGCTGTTTGGTAACTGGATTTAAGTTTAAAATGAACTTAGATTAGCGACAAAATAAAACGGAAAATCTCAGAGATATCAAAGATCATAGAAAATTCCCATTCAATGATTAAAAGTTGCATCTTAGAAAATATTGCAATAGTCAAATCTTTACACGATCAATCGGTAAAAGTTAAAACTTAATTTTTAGGACAGTATACAACGTTTCTCTAATGAAAATTCAGCAATTTCTGTTTGACAGTTTCTAGCTTTAATCACGTAACATTCCAGAGACTGATACGAAATATATGCGCTCGGCTGATGTTTGGACGACCTTTAGAATTTATCTATTCCTCTCTTTCTACCTCCCTTTCTCTTTATTCTTCCCCCTCTCCTCCTTTCTCTTCTTCTCCTTCTCCTTCTCCTTCTCTCTTTTCTTCTTCATCCTTTTCGTGGGGCTTTGAGGGCTCTTTAGCAGGTTTAGGGGCAGGTTTTGGGGCTGGTTTTGGGGCGGGTTTTGCGGCAGGTTTTGGGGCTGGTTTTGGGGCGGGTTTTGCGGCAGGTTTTGGGGCTGGTTTTGGGGCAAGTTTTGCGGCAGGTTTTGGGGCTGGTTCTGGGGCTGGTTTTGGGGCAGGTTTAGCGGCGGGTTTTGCGGCAGGTTTTGGGGCAGGTTTTGCGGCGGGTTTTGCGGCGGGTTTTGTGGTGGGTTTGATGCATGTCCACCAGAACAGGCTGTTCTATGATGACAAGTAAGCTGTCCTCTTCGACAAGAGCAGGTCTTGCAGCCGATATTAGCCGTGGTACCGTGTGGTACTTTGTGTTCTCCGGTGAAACAGTTCAGAGAGGGACGGGTGTGTCTGAAACATTGTTAGGGAGATTAAAGAACAAGGGAGCAGTATCTTTCTTTTGGTAACTAGTCCAAGTTAACGTAATTCTAATATTAAAATTACGTGTGGTAACACCATGTTACCACACCACATCTGGTGTGGTGTGGGTTTTAAGTAACCTTGTCACACAGTTGTAATCGAACTTGCAGACGAACACTCCGAAACCATTACAAGTACACCTCTTACAGCCTCGGCCTATGTGACTGCCTTGTTTGATCTGAGGTTATTATTAATTAACTTATTGGACTAGTAATGACGAGGAATTTAATTTGAATTTAATAATAACGGTTAAATTTGGACTATTTCGATATTCATCAGCGATATTTCAGTTAGACTTTTTAGACGAATTAATTTTTGATAGCAGTGAGAAATAAAAGAAAGCTGCACTAAACCTGATGATCACCGAGAAAGCAGCCTGCAGCATGTTTAACACTACCACACGACCTCTTCTCACAACTTAGTCTCTGTCTGCTACATCGACATGTCTGAAAATATTTCCTTGTGTTTCAACTATTACAACACGAATTGTTACCCATACTTTTAGTCACCGAATTTTTAAGAATTTTTTCTTTACCGCATCTCAGTGGTTTATAACGTTTCCTCCTAATGTGTGTCTCCATAGCAACCCACGTGACTCAAAGTATCATGTCATTATGGGTGTTGTCGACCTAATGAAAACAAACATTCTGAAATGAAGTGTAGATTTTCTGTACACTTGTAACACTCGGTTGTCATGGTTACACTCGTCGCACCCTTTATATCAGGAAGATCTGTTTCCCTCAGTCGCTGGTTTACATACTGGTACAATACCCACAGTGAGTAGGACGTAGGTACATGTCACGTGATATTTGTAAATAACACGTGGCATGTTGTAAATAACACGTGAAATTGTATACTCCTGTTTTTTAGGAAACTAAATCACTTTGGCTCGCACATCTACTGATTGTCCAACTAGTGGTTTAACTACTATAATATACTGTTACTACTGCTGCAACTAAAATATGGTATTCTCATTTCACATTACAAAGTGCATCCTTTGGATTCACATTACAAAGTGCATTCTCTGGAATTGTACTGCTGATACAGAAGGGGAAACTGGGGCTACTCTTCGTTGTAGTTCAACTTTTTAGTATTTTAGGTACCCAGGTACTTTATTTCCTCTTATTATTTACAAATACCAGCTACGTTTCCACTTGATTTGTCGGCAAGCGAAACTAATAAGACGAAAAGTAATACCCAGATTATAGGGATGGAGGGAAGTGTCCCAGATCAGAAGTATTTAAATGAGAATTACCCTGTAGTTCCCCTTGTAAAAGTAAGAAGATGGAATTACCCTGCAGTTCCCCTTGTAAAAGTAAGAAGATGGTATTACCAGCTGCAGTTCCCTTTGTAAAAGTAAGAAGATGGAATTACCCTGCAGTTCTCCTTGTAAAAGTAAGAAGATGGAATTACCCTGCAGTTCCCCTTGTAAAAGTAAGAAGATGGAATTACCCTGCAGTTCCCCTTGTAAAAGTAAGAAGATGGAATTACCCTGCAGTTCCCCTTGTAAAAGTAAGAAGATGGTATTACCCTGCAGTTCCCTTTGTAAAAGTAAGAAGATGGAATTACCCTGCAGTTCTCCTTGTAAAAGTAAGAAGATGGTATTACCCTGCAGTTCCCCTTGTAAAAGTAAGAAGATGGAATTACCCTGCAGTTCCCCTTGTAAAAGTAAGAAGATGGTATCACCCTGCAGTTCCCCTTGTAAAAGTAAGAAGATGGAATTACCCTGCAGTTCCCTTGTAAAAGAAAGAAGATGGAATTACCCTGCAGTTCTCCTTGTAAAAGTAAGAAGATGGAATTACCCTGCAGTTCCCCTTGTAAAAGTAAGAAGATGGAATTACCCTGCAGTTCCCCTTGTAAAAGTAAGAAGATGGAATTACCCTGCAGTTCCCCTTGTGAAAGTAAGAAGATGGAATTACCCTGCAGTTCCCCTTGTAAAAGTAAGAAGATGGAATTACCCTGCAGTTCCCCTTGTAAAAGTAAGAAGATGGAATTACCCTGCAGTTCCCCTTGTAAAAGTAAGAAGATGGAATTACCCTGCAGTTCCCCTTGTAAAAGTAAGAAGATGGAATTACCCTGCATTTCCCCTTGTGAAAGTAAGAAGATGGTATTACCCTGCAGTTCCCCTTGTGAAAGTAAGAAGATGGTATTACCCTGCAGTTCCCTTGTAAAAGTAAGAAGATGGAATTACCCTGCAGTTCCCCTTGTAAAAGAAAGAAGATGGAATTACCCTGCAGTTCCCCTTGTAAAAGAAAGAAGATGGAATTACCCTGCAGTTCCCCTTGTAAAAGTAAGAAGATGGAATTACCCTGCAGTTCCCCTTGTAAAAGTAAGAAGATGGAATTACCCTGCAGTTCCCCTTGTAAAAGTAAGAAGATGGAATTACCCTGCAGTTCCCCTTGTAAAAGTAAGAAGATGGAATTACCCTGCAGTTCCCCTTGTAAAAGTAAGAAGATGGAATTACCCTGCAGTTCCCCTTGTAAAAGTAAGAAGATGGAATTACCCTGCAGTTCCCCTTGTAAAAGTAAGAAGATGGAATTACCCTGCAGTTCCCCTTGTAAAAGTAAGAAGATGGAATTACCCTGCAGTTCCCCTTGTAAAAGTAAGAAGATGGAATTACCCTGCAGTTCCCCTTGTAAAAGTAAGAAGATGGTATTACCCTGCAGTTCCCCTTGTAAAAGTAAGAAGATGGAATTACCCTGCAGTTCCCCTTGTAAAAGTAAGAAGATGGAATTACCCTGCAGTTCCCCTTGTAAAAGTAAGAAGATGGAATTACCCTGCAGTTCCCCTTGTAAAAGTAAGAAGATGGAATTACCCTGCAGTTCCCCTTGTAAAAGTAAGAAGATGGAATTACCCTGCAGTTCCCCTTGTAAAAGTAAGAAGATGGTATTACCCTGCAGTTCCCCTTGTAAAAGTAAGAAGATGGAATTACCCTGCAGTTCCCCTTGTAAAAGTAAGAAGATGGAATTACCCTGCAGTTCCCCTTGTAAAAGTAAGAAGATGGTATTACCCTGCAGTTCCCCTTGTAAAAGTAAGAAGATGGAATTACCCTGCAGTTCCCCTTGTAAAAGTAAGAAGATGGAATTACCCTGCAGTTCCCCTTGTAAAAGTAAGAAGATGGAATTACCCTGCAGTTCCCCTTGTAAAAGTAAGAAGATGGAATTACCCTGCAGTTCCCCTTGTAAAAGTAAGAAGATGGTATTACCCTGCAGTTCCCCTTGTAAAAGTAAGAAGATGGAATTACCCTGCAGTTCCCCTTGTAAAAGTAAGAAGATGGAATTACCCTGCAGTTCCCCTTGTAAAAGTAAGAAGATGGTATTACCCTGCAGTTCCCCTTGTAAAAGTAAGAAGATGGAATTACCCTGCAGTTCCCCTTGTAAAAGTAAGAAGATGGTATTACCCTGCAGTTCCCCTTGTAAAAGTAAGAAGATGGTATTACCCTGCAGTTCCCCTTGTAAAAGTAAGAAGATGGAATTACCCTGCAGTTCCCCTTGTGAAAGTAAGAAGATGGTATTACCCTGCAGTTCCCCTTGTAAAAGTAAGAAGATGGTATTACCCTGCAGTTCCCCTTGTAAAAGTAAGAAGATGGAATTACCCTGCAGTTCCCCTTGTAAAAGTAAGAAGATGGTATTACCCTGCAGTTCCCCTTGTAAAAGTAAGAAGATGGAATTACCCTGCAGTTCCCTTGTAAAAGTAAGAAGATGGAATTACCCTGCAGTTCCCCTTGTAAAAGTAAGAAGATGGTATTACCCTGCAGTTCCCCTTGTAAAAGTAAGAAGATGGAATTACCCTGCAGTTCCCCTTGTAAAAGTAAGAAGATGGAATTACCCTGCAGTTCCCCTTGTAAAAGTAAGAAGATGGAATTACCCTGCAGTTCCCCTTGTAAAAGTAAGAAGATGGTATTACCCTGCAGTTCCCCTTGTAAAAGTAAGAAGATGGAATTACCCTGCAGTTCCCCTAGTAAAAGTAAGAAGATGGAATTACCCTGCAGTTCCCCTTGTAAAAGTAAGAAGATGGAATTACCCTTCAGTTCCCCTTGTAAAAGTAAGAAGATGGAATTACCCTGCAGTTCCCCTTGTAAAAGTAAGAAGATGGTATTACCCTGCAGTTCCCCTTGTAAAAGTAAGAAGATGGAATTACCCTGCAGTTCCCCTTGTAAAAGTAAGAAGATGGTATTGCCCTGCAGTTCCCCTTGTAAAAGTAAGAAGATGGAATTACCCTGCAGTTCCCCTTGTAAAAGTAAGAAGATGGAATTACCGTGCAGTTCCCCTTGTAAAAGTAAGAAGATGGAATTACCCTTCAGTTCCCCTTGTAAAAGTAAGAAGATGGAATTACCCTGCAGTTCCCTTGTAAAAGTAAGAAGATGGAATTACCCAGCAGTTCCCTTGTAAAAGTAAGAAGATGGAATTACCCTGCAGTTCCCCTTGTCGAGGAGACTGTCCCCCTCCATTACCACATTCCCATCATTTAGTCTACACCCAGACTTAAACTTTGGGTCCTCGTACTCCTCTACTGGTAGCTCCGTAGGGACCTGGAACCTGGACACTCGTCTGAAAGGTGTTATTTGTTTATACATTGGGATTAGCTTATACTGTTATAATGGCCGTTATAAACACGGCAACTCCTTACTTATTCACTGGTTTTTGTTTCTTTTTGTTATTCAGTTATTTTCTCTACAAGTCTACAAGACTAATTATTTTTACAGTTTTGGGTCTTTTTTGTTTTTTGTCATTTACTAAGTTAATATTTATTGCTATTTGTCCTCGTAAAACACTAATTATGTTTTTAATTTAAACAAATTCTCAAATTTCTTGTACCCTAAACAAGGCAATTGAATGTGACGCCACTAATCAGGCTTTAATAGAGCTTATTAACTGAATATCACACACATTCTCCTCTAATCTTGAGACAATGTCACCAATAAGAGTACAACAGACCTCATGTTTAATGGTAATTGTATTGTCACTACATAAAGGTAATCACTCAATTAGTGTACTAATTAATAGTGACATTAAACAGGTAGACAGATAATGAGTACTTAATAGTAAATTAATAATATCAGACCGTTATTGTAGCGAATGGGAGTTCGTTAAGCATTGAGGGAGTCGTTAACACTTGACAAGCAATACCACGTGACTTTACAAGAGTTGCACGTGATATTGAATGCGCCGCGCAGCACGTGACTCTACAAGAGGTGCACGTGATATTTAGTGCGCCGCGCAGCACGTGATTTTGTGCAGTGGTCACATGATAATAGGGCACGAGTTTTATTGAGCAAGCTTACTGGTTTTTACAAGCTGTTATTGGCAAGCGGGGCAACTTACTGCTTACTATAAAGTAGTAAAAAGCATGACAAAACGCACTTGTGCAGTTGGTGGCAACCTACACCCACGTCACTATATTATAGTGGCACATATCATTTTTATTATGTAAATCGTCTAACAGAAGATTAAGAAATAATTCCGAACACGCACTTTGACCTTTACTACAACAAAAGATCATTTTCCAGGTGATTTCAACAATCTGAACTAAGAATGGTCAGTACGATAGTAAGATGGTACCTATCATGGTACTACAACAGTATAATAATGGGGTTATGAACTATTGTACTATATGCTTACTGTTTTAAGCAACGGATAATTTAGTTCTGGACTGATAATAATTGAAAACTTCATAATACTGTAGTATTCTGTGTCATAATAATTGAAAACTTCACAGTACTGTAGTATTCTGTGTCATAACAACTGAAAACTTCACAATACTGTAGTATTCTGTGTGATAATAACTGAAAACATCACAGTACTGTAGTATTCTGTGTCATAACAACTGAAAACTTCACAATACTGTAGTATTCTGTGTGATAATAACTGAAAACATCATAGTACTGTAGTATTCTGTGTGATAATAACTGAAAACTTCACAGTACTGTAGTATTCTATGTGATAATAACTGAAAACTTCATAGTACTGTAGTATTCTGTGTCATAACAACTGAAAACTTCACAGTACTGTAGTATTCTATGTGATAATAACTGAAAACTTCATAGTACTGTAGTATTCTGTGTCATAACAACTGAAAACTTCACAATACTGTAGTATTCTGTGTGATAATAACTGAAAACTTCACAGTACTGTAGTATTCTGTGTGATAATAACTGAAAACTTCACAGTTCTGTAGTATTCTGTGTGATAATAACTGAAAACTTCATAGTAATGTAGTATTTTGTGTGATAATAACTGAAAACTTCACAATACTGTAGTAGTATTCTGTGTTAACCTGGATTGAGAGGCGTCACACTGGTGATCACGCGAGCAGGAGGCCTGAAAGCCGTTGAAACCGTAATGACAACTACAAGCAGTGCACCTTCCCACGCTGTACTGCTGGTTCCGGGGTACAACCACACCACTCACGTGACATCCTGTAGAGGGGAGGGTTATTGTATTGGGGGGGGGGGGGGGGGGGGGTACAACCACACCATTTACGTGACATCCTGCAGAGGGGAGGGTTATTGTATGGGGGGGGGGAGGGGGGTACAACCACACCATTCACGTGACATCCTGTGCAGAGAGGGTTATTGTATTGGGGGGGGGGGGGGGGGGGGGGGGGGGGGGAGGGGGGTAAAACCACACCACTCACGAGACATCCTGCAGAGGGGAGGGTTATTGTACTAGAGAACTCTACTCCACTCCACTCCATGACAGAGATGGGGTTATTTGGTTAAAGGAAGTTATGGCGAGTTATTAGACGAAACTAACTAACTAACCTGGCACAGGAGCGGTTCTAACACACTGTTTTCTCCAGTAACACACGAGTCTAGGACCATGATGAGGAGAGATGGGCTGTACACACTTACACAGCTTACAGCTGGAGATGAACACTCGGCTACCTACTGGCACTGTGATTCCTGGGAGGTTGTGGGTTAGAAGCAGTGGGAGGAGTTTGTCATAGTAAGTAGTGAACACTGAACCCCCTAGTTAAGTATGGTAGTGGTAGTGAACAGTATGGTACCTCCGTAACTGCAGACAGAATCTCCCCTATCCTCGCTGACCACATATCCCCTTCCAAACTTGGTTCTCTTTACTCTACCAAACCCATATGCTCGGTACCTGGGTAGAAGGGTAACATTATTTATAATCATATATTATTATAACTACTCTGATAATTTTCTTTACAATCAGATCATAAATATGAAAACATTTTATTAGTCTAATTATTGGTTTGACTGTTTACTAGAAACAAATTTTAGAGATGGTAAGTGGGACGTGCTAAATACTAACCCTTCACTGTGAGTGTTGATGATGTCCCGAGTGTTGCTCTCCCCGATCGAAGGGTTACTAGCGTACCCTATCTGTATACCCCCCGTTGTAATGGGAGTGTTTCTTCTCTTATCAGCAGCTGTGCTCCACGTGCTGGAACCATCACTCACCTGGAGACAGCAGGAGGTGACAACTAACTAACTAACTAACTAACTAACTAACTAACTAACTAACTAACTAACTAACTAACTAACTAACTAACTAACTAACTAACTAACTAACTAACTAACTAACTAACTAACTAACTAACTAACTAACTAACTAACTAACTAACTAACTAACTAACTAACTAACTAACTAACTAACTAACTAACTAACTAATATAGTTTAAGACGTTGAACGTTATTTAGTTGCTTGAATTGATTTCCGTTAAATCCATATTTTAGCTTTTAAAACTTTTTAAGTAAAAAAAAACTTTTAAAGTTATAACTTACTCCAGCGTCCACCGTTTTGGAGAACTCGAATATCTTGGTTTCTTGTTTTGAATTATTTGGAGTGGCAGGTTTACTGTTTTTATCAAAATGTTGAGGTGGCCCGTGTCGGAAATGACCAAATCTGAAGAAGATAAAGTAAGTGATCGAATTTATTTATAAATTTATAAATTTATTAATGTAAACATGTTAGTACTTTAGTAACATACTTAGTAGAGGAACTGTTTGTATTAACTTGGAATCAACCGAGACGACTGTAACAAGCACTACAAAGCAAAGCTACTGTTATCTTGAAGATATCCTGAGTACTGACTAACTAACTAATAATACTACTGACTAACTAACTAAACATGCTACTGACTAACTAACTAAACATGCTACTGACTAACTAACTAAACATGCTACTGACTAACTAACTAAACCTGCTACTGACTAACTAACTAAACCTGCTACTGACTAACTAACTAAACATGCTACTGACTAACTAACTAAACATGCTACTGACTAACTAACTAAACATGCTACTGACTAACTAACTAAACATGCTACTGACTAACTAACTAAACATGCTACTGACTAACTAACTAAACCTGCTACTGACTAACTAACTAAACCTGCTACTGACTAACTAACTAAACATGCTACTGACTAACTAACTAAACCTGCTACTGACTAACTAACTAAACATGCTACTGACTAACTAACTAAACCTGCTACTGACTAACTAACTAAACCTGCTACTGACTAACTAACTAAACCTGCTACTGACTAACTAACTAAACCTGCTACTGACTAACTAACTAAACCTGCTACTGACTAACTAACTAAACATGCTACTGACTAACTAACTAAACCTGCTACTGACTAACTAACTAAACCTGCTACTGACTAACTAACTAAACATGCTACTGACTAACTAACTAAACATGCTACTGACTAACTAACTAAACATGCTACTGACTAACTAACTAAACATGCTACTGACTAACTAACTAAACATGCTACTGACTAACTAACTAAACATGCTACTGACTAACTAACTAAACATGCTACTGACTAACTAACTAAACATGCTACTGACTAACTAACTAAACCTGCTACTGACTAACTAACTAAACATGCTACTGACTAACTAACTAAACCTGCTACTGACTAACTAACTAAACATGCTACTGACTAACTAACTAAACCTGCTACTGACTAACTAACTAAACCTGCTACTGACTAACTAACTAAACATGCTACTGACTAACTAACTAAACATGCTACTGACTAACTAACTAAACCTGCTACTGACTAACTAACTAAACATGCTACTGACTAACTAACTAAACCTGCTACTGACTAACTAACTAAACATGCTACTGACTAACTAACTAAACATGCTACTGACTAACTAACTAAACATGCTACTGACTAACTAACTAAACATGCTACTGACTAACTAACTAAACCTGCTACTGACTAACTAACTAAACATGCTACTGACTAACTAACTAAACCTGCTACTGACTAACTAACTAAACCTGCTACTGACTAACTAACTAAACCTGCTACTGACTAACTAACTAAACCTGCTACTGACTAACTAACTAAACCTGCTACTGACTAACTAACTAAACCTGCTACTGACTAACTAACTAAACCTGCTACTGACTAACTAACTAAACCTGCTACTGACTAACTAACTAAACATGCTACTGACTAACTAACTAAACATGCTACTGACTAACTAACTAAACATGCTACTGACTAACTAACTAAACATGCTACTGACTAACTAACTAAACATGCTACTGACTAACTAACTAAACATGCTACTGACTAACTAACTAAACCTGCTACTGACTAACTAACTAAACCTGCTACTGACTAACTAACTAAACCTGCTACTGACTAACTAACTAAACCTGCTACTGACTAACTAACTAAACCTGCTACTGACTAACTAACTAAACCTGCTACTGACTAACTAACTAAACCTGCTACTGACTAACTAACTAATAATACTACTGACTAACTAACTAAACATGCTACTGACTAACTAACTAACCTGCTACTGACTAACTAACTAAACCTGCTACTGACTAACTAACTAAACCTGCTACTGACTAACTAACTAAACATGCTACTGACTAACTAACTAAACTGCTACTGACTAACTAACTAAACATGCTACTGACTAACTAACTAAACCTGCTACTGACTAACTAACTAAACCTGCTACTGACTAACTAACTAAACATGCTACTGACTAACTAACTAAACCTGCTACTGACTAACTAACTAAACCTGCTACTGACTAACTAACTAAACCTGCTACTGACTAACTAACTAAACCTGCTACTGACTAACTAACTAAACATGCTACTGACTAACTAACTAAACATGCTACTGACTAACTAACTAAACATGCTACTGACTAACTAACTAAACATGCTACTGACTAACTAACTAAACCTGCTACTGACTAACTAACTAAACCTGCTACTGACTAACTAACTAAACCTGCTACTGACTAACTAACTAAACCTGCTACTGACTAACTAACTAAACCATGCTACTGACTAACTAACTAAACATGCTACTGACTAACTAACTAAACCTGCTACTGACTAACTAACTAACATGCTACTGACTAACTAACCTAAACCTGCTACTGACTAACTAACTAAACTGCTACTGACTAACTAACTAAACATGCTACTGACTAACTAACTAAACCTGCTACTGACTAACTAACTAAACCTGCTACTGACTAACTAACTAAACATGCTACTGACTAACTAACTAAACATGCTACTGACTAACTAACTAAACATGCTACTGACTAACTAACTAAACCTGCTACTGACTAACTAACTAAACCTGCTACTGACTAACTAACTAAACCTGCTACTGACTAACTAACTAAACCTGCTACTGACTAACTAACTAAACCTGCTACTGACTAACTAACTAAACATGCTACTGACTAACTAACTAAACCTGCTACTGACTAACTAACTAAACATGCTACTGACTAACTAACTAAACCTGCTACTGACTAACTAACTAAACTGCTACTGACTAACTAACTAAACATGCTACTGACTAACTAACTAAACCTGCTACTGACTAACTAACTAAACCTGCTACTGACTAACTAACTAAACCTGCTACTGACTAACTAACTAAACATGCTACTGACTAACTAAACTAAACCTGCTACTGACTAACTAACTAAACATGCTACTGACTAACTAACTAAACCTGCTACTGACTAACTAACTAAACCTGCTACTGACTAACTAACTAAACCTGCTACTGACTAACTAACTAAACCTGCTACTGACCTAACTAACTAAACATGCTACTGACTAACTAACTAAACCTGCTACTGACTAACTAACTAAACCTGCTACTGACTAACTAACTAAACCTGCTACTGACTAACTAACTAAACCTGCTACTGACTAACTAACTAAACCTGCTACTGACCTAACTAACTAAACCTGCTACTGACTAACTAACTAAACCTGCTACTGACTAAATAACTAAACATGCTACTGACTAACTAACTAAACCTGCTACTGACTAACCTAACTAAACCTGTACTGACTAACTAACTAAACCTGCTACTGACTAACTAACTAAACCTGCTACTGACTAACTAACTAAACATGTTACTGACTAACTAACTAATAATACTACTGACTAACTAACTAAACATGCTACTGACTAACTAACTAAACATGCTACTGACTAACTAACTAAACATGTTACTGACTAACTAACTAATAATACTACTGACTAACTAACTAAACATGCTACTGACTAACTAACTAAACCTGCTACTGACTAACTAACTAAACCTGCTACTGACTAACTAACTAAACCTGCTACTGACTAACTAACTAAACATGCTACTGACTAACTAACTAAACCTGCTACTGACTAACTAACTAAACATGCTACTGACTAACTAACTAAACATGCTACTGACTAACTAACTAAACCTGCTACTGACTAACTAACTAAACCTGCTACTGACTAACTAACTAAACATGCTACTGACTAACTAACTAAACATGCTACTGACTAACTAACTAAACATGCTACTGACTAACTAACTAAACATGCTACTGACTAACTAACTAAACCTGCTACTGACTAACTAACTAAACCTGCTACTGACTAACTAACTAAACCTGCTACTGACTAACTAACTAAACCTGCTACTGACTAACTAACTAAACATGCTACTGACTAACTAACTAAACATGCTACTGACTAACTAACTAAACCTGCTACTGACTAACTAACTAAACATGCTACTGACTAACTAACTAAACCTGCTACTGACTAACTAACTAAACCTGCTACTGACTAACTAACTAAACATGCTACTGACTAACTAACTAAACCTGCTACTGACTAACTAACTAAACCTGCTACTGACTAACTAACTAAACATGCTACTGACTAACTAACTAAACATGCTACTGACTAACTAACTAAACATGCTACTGACTAACTAACTAAACCTGCTACTGACTAACTAACTAAACATGCTACTGACTAACTAACTAAACATGCTACTGACTAACTAACTAAACATGCTACTGACTAACTAACTAAACCTGCTACTGACTAACTAACTAAACATGCTACTGACTAACTAACTAAACCTGCTACTGACTAACTAACTAATAATACTACTGACTAACTAACTAAACATGCTACTGACTAACTAACTAAACCTGCTACTGACTAACTAACTAAACCTGCTACTGACTAACTAACTAACCTGCTACTGACTAACTAACTAAACCTGCTACTGACTAACTAACTAAACCTGCTACTGACTAACTAACTAAACATGCTACTGACTAACTAACTAAACCTGCTACTGACTAACTAACTAAACATGCTACTGACTAACTAACTAAACATGCTACTGACTAACTAACTAAACATGCTACTGACTAACTAACTAAACATGCTACTGACTAACTAACTAAACCTGCTACTGACTAACTAACTAAACATGCTACTGACTAACTAACTAAACATGCTACTGACTAACTAACTAAACCTGCTACTGACTAACTAACTAAACCTGCTACTGACTAACTAACTAAACCTGCTACTGACTAACTAACTAAACCTGCTACTGACTAACTAACTAAACCTGCTACTGACTAACTAACTAAACCTGCTACTGACTAACTAACTAAACCTGCTACTGACTAACTAACTAAACCTGCTACTGACTAACTAACTAAACCTGCTACTGACTAACTAACTAAACCTGCTACTGACTAACTAACTAAACCTGCTACTGACTAACTAACTAAACCTGCTACTGACTAACTAACTAAACATGCTACTGACTAACTAACTAAACATGCTACTGACTAACTAACTAAACCTGCTACTGACTAACTAACTAAACATGCTACTGACTAACTAACTAAACATGCTACTGACTAACTAACTAAACCTGCTACTGACTAACTAACTAAACATGCTACTGACTAACTAACTAAACCTGCTACTGACTAACTAACTAAACCTGCTACTGACTAACTAACTAAACCTGCTACTGACTAACTAACTAAACCTGCTACTGACTAACTAACTAAACCTGCTACTGACTAACTAACTAAACCTGCTACTGACTAACTAACTAAACATGCTACTGACTAACTAACTAAACCTGCTACTGACTAACTAACTAAACCTGCTACTGACTAACTAACTAAACATGCTACTGACTAACTAACTAAACCTGCTACTGACTAACTAACTAAACCTGCTACTGACTAACTAACTAAACCTGCTACTGACTAACTAACTAAACATGCTACTGACTAACTAACTAAACCTGCTACTGACTAACTAACTAAACCTGCTACTGACTAACTAACTAAACCTGCTACTGACTAACTAACTAAACCTGCTACTGACTAACTAACTAAACCTGCTACTGACTAACTAACTAAACCTGCTACTGACTAACTAACTAAACCTGCTACTGACTAACTAACTAAACCTGCTACTGACTAACTAACTAAACCTGCTACTGACTAACTAACTAAACCTGCTACTGACTAACTAACTAAACCTGCTACTGACTAACTAACTAAACCTGCTACTGACTAACTAACTAAACCTGCTACTGACTAACTAACTAAACATGCTACTGACTAACTAACTAAACATGCTACTGACTAACTAACTAAACTACTACTGACTAACTAACTAAACATGCTACTGACTAACTAACTAAACATGCTACTGACTAACTAACTAAACCTGCTACTGACTAACTAACTAAACATGCTACTGACTAACTAACTAAACCTGCTACTGACTAACTAACTAAACCTGCTACTGACTAACTAACTAAACATGCTACTGACTAACTAACTAAACCTGCTACTGACTAACTAACTAAACATGCTACTGACTAACTAACTAAACCTGCTACTGACTAACTAACTAAACCTGCTACTGACTAACTAACTAAACCTGCTACTGACTAACTAACTAAACATGCTACTGACTAACTAACTAAACCTGCTACTGACTAACTAACTAAACCTGCTACTGACTAACTAACTAAACCTGCTACTGACTAACTAACTAAACATGCTACTGACTAACTAACTAAACCTGCTACTGACTAACTAACTAAACATGCTACTGACTAACTAACTAAACCTGCTACTGACTAACTAACTAAACCTGCTACTGACTAACTAACTAAACATGCTACTGACTAACTAACTAAACATGCTACTGACTAACTAACTAAACCTGCTACTGACTAACTAACTAAACATGCTACTGACTAACTAACTAAACCTGCTACTGACTAACTAACTAAACCTGCTACTGACTAACTAACTAAACATGCTACTGACTAACTAACTAAACATGCTACTGACTAACTAACTAAACATGCTACTGACTAACTAACTAAACATGTTACTGACTAACTAACTAAACCTGCTACTGACTAACTAACTAAACATGCTACTGACTAACTAACTAAACCTGCTACTGACTAACTAACTAAACCTGCTACTGACTAACTAACTAAACCTGCTACTGACTAACTAACTAAACCTGCTACTGACTAACTAACTAAACCTGCTACTGACTAACTAACTAAACCTGCTACTGACTAACTAACCAAACATGCTACTGACTAACTAACTAAACCTGCTACTGACTAACTAACTAAACATGCTACTGACTAACTAACTAAACATGCTACTGACTAACTAACTAAACCTGCTACTGACTAACTAACTAAACCTGCTACTGACTAACTAACTAAACCTGCTACTGACTAACTAACTAAACATGCTACTGACTAACTAACTAAACATGCTACTGACTAACTAACTAAACCTGCTACTGACTAACTAACTAAACATGCTACTGACTAACTAACTAAACCTGCTACTGACTAACTAACTAAACCTGCTACTGACTAACTAACTAAACCTGCTACTGACTAACTAACTAAACCTGCTACTGACTAACTAACTAAACCTGCTACTGACTAACTAACTAAACATGCTACTGACTAACTAACTAAACATGCTACTGACTAACTAACTAAACATGCTACTGACTAACTAACTAAACATGCTACTGACTAACTAACTAAACATGCTACTGACTAACTAACTAAACATGCTACTGACTAACTAACTAAACCTGCTACTGACTAACTAACTAAACATGCTACTGACTAACTAACTAAACCTGCTACTGACTAACTAACTAAACCTGCTACTGACTAACTAACTAAACATGCTACTGACTAACTAACTAAACCTGCTACTGACTAACTAACTAAACATGCTACTGACTAACTAACTAAACATGCTACTGACTAACTAATTAAACCTGCTACTGACTAACTAACTAAACCTGCTACTGACTAACTAACTAAACCTGCTACTGACTAACTAACTAAACATGCTACTGACTAACTAACTAAACATGCTACTGACTAACTAACTAAACATGCTACTGACTAACTAACTAAACATGCTACTGACTAACTAACTAAACCTGCTAGAGTGAACGTCATTACTGTCGTGTTTGTTATCAATATGGAACCGTTGTTTCCTGGACCCCCATCTGTTGTCATCTTTCTGAGATATTTAATTTCTTTTAAACCGGAATAATCAACCGGAATAATACAAATTGACCCAATTGAAACGAATGTTTGATATCGCGACTGAAACTGAGTTTTGTTTTCCTAAATAAACAAGTTTCAGCCCTCACATTAGTCCGTCCCCCAGTGTCTCTGTAACCACCTCTGGTGGGTCCTGTGCTCTTCTTCTCACTGTTACAAGTATCTTTACACACGAATACAGGGTGTTTACCTTCCTGTTCTACACAAGTACAACTCTGACAGGGTGGGATCTTGATCTGCGAGGGAGGTGTTACTAGGTTACTAGGTTACTAGGTTACTAGGTTACTAGGTTACTAGGTTACTAGGTTACTAGGTTACTAGGTTACTAAGTTACTAGGTTACTAGGTTACTAGGTTACTAGGTTACTAGGTTACTAGGTTACTAGGTTACTAGGTTACTAGGTTACTAGGTTACTAGGTTACTAGGTTACTAGGTTATTAGGTTACTAGGTTACTAGGTTACTAGGTTACTATGTTACTAGGTTACTAGGTTACTAGGTTACTAGGTTACTAGGTTACGTAAATACGTGTCTGGAAACAGCTGAACAGATTTTAAAATGTTTCTACTCTCAGATTGTCAATAAGAATATTTTAAAATCCCAAAATATTTATAACTTGTGTTTGGTTGCCATATAACTATAAGAGAAAATAACGTAAAAAATAAAGACGAAACAGTACCTTGCCTGAGAACGGCACCAGACTCCCTCTGTACATACAACCCCTGGTTTTTTCCTGTGTAACAACAGTTCTGATCACTTTTGTCTCTTTCTCTACAACAGTGTTGTCTCCTGTCTGGTCCTCCACCACTCCCTTGCCGTCTCCGTAGAGAGTTGTAGTGGAGCCGCTGGGTAGGGTTCTCTCCTCCTCACAACCTGTGGTTGTCCGGTGTAGTAACAACACTGTAACCATGACTACTGAATAATAAATAGCTTCTAAAATAGCCCTGGTAAAACCACTCATATCTTGAAATTAAGGTTTTTGTGATCCTCACCTTTAAGATCATCACAGAGGAATAGGGGACCCTCCCTACTCTTTACACAGATACAGTGGTTACATCGTCCGTACTGGATCTTACTACCAAACGTGACAACCTGCCCACCCAACATACAGTTATCTGGGGAGAGTAGGTTTTAGAGACGGGTAAAATGAAGGTAATCTTGAAAGAAGGTGCTGGATTAAAATAGTAAACTGATCTCACCTGTAGTTTTAACCACCGTGGGTCGAGTAGGACTGCTCTTCTTGGGGACCTCCCCACTGGGGACCTCTCCAGTCATTGATGAAGTGTTTAAACTACTTGGAGGGGAGCGAGTAGTTGAGTCTCCACTGATGGGAGAAGTGGAGACACAGCTGTTCTTACAACGGAACACAGGCACTTTGCCACTCATCGAGCATTTACATAAGGTACATTTCTTAAGTTGTAGGACGGAGCGTTGGGAGTAGTTACGACTTTTGTATCTGCAGACTGGGCCTGGGATATCAATGTTAGAGCTTTGGAGGCAACAGTTATCTTTACGACTTTTGTATCTGCAGACTGGGCCTGGGATATCAATGTTAGAACAGTTATCTTTACTAAAAGAAAGGATTAGGAGTGGAGGCAAACTAGTATATTATACCCATCAGCTGTGTGGTGTTATTAGAAATGGTTATTTAGGTTCTGTTGAAGGCAGGTTAACATTACAATATCAGTTAATATATTTGTTCATAATATGTGCATAATTCCTCAACTAAACGAACCTGTAACCCTCTTAGGAGAGTCTCCAGTGAGAGGAGTGTCTCCAGTGAGAGGAGTGTCTCCAGTGAGAGGAGTGTCTCCATTTCCTAGCTGTTCAGTGTGCTGGGTCGTACCTTGACCCTCACCAGAACCTTGACTCTTACTACTTGGTTTAGGGGGAACACTTTGTGGACGTTTCTTCTGACCTCCAGATTCAGTACTTTGGTTAGGGCGGCGACTAGGACGTCGGATAGGTCTTCTACTAGGACCAAAGTAGTGGTCCGATGTTCTAATGGGACCTTTAGAACCTTCTGGACGAACAGGTTGCTCCTGGACCTCAACAGGAACAGTTCGAGCCTGATCTACCTGGCTGTGATGAATAGGACCTCCAGATCCGTGAACTAACTGATCACGCGACATCGTCTTAGGACGTCCTGATACATCAGATAAGGTCCTACCACTGCCATCAGGGAGGAAGGGGTTAACAGGACTGCCAGGTCTGTCAGCAACTCTCCTCCCGTTAACGAACACCCCATCATACTGCACGTCAGAGTGAACGTACCGGTCACTAAAGCACTGAGGGTTGTACCGGCAGAGGATCCTGGGCTGGCTGTTCTTGCTGGTACACACGCACGTGCGGCAAGTTGTAGTGGCGAAGAGAGAGCCTGGAGCATAGCTTGCTCCGTTGTAGTGACACGTCATCGTACTGCCTGATAGCTGTCTTGATGCTCCCTGGATAACAGGAGTCAAGAGGTATCTAAATCTCTAAATCATCATGTATCCTTTAATCGAGCAAATAGTCAATAACTTTAACCTTATCTGATATCGTGGGCCGGACAGTCTCTCGAACCTCTCCCTCTAACCCCCTCTAACCCCCCTCTAACCCCCCTCTAACCCCCCTTACCCCCTCTAACCCCCCTCTAACCCCCTCTAACCCCCTCTAACCCCCTCTAACCCCTCTAACCCCCTCTAACCCCCTCTAACCCCCTCTAACCCCCTCTAACCCCCTCTAACCCCCTCTAACCCCCTCTAACCCCCCTCTAACCCCCCTCTAACCCCCTCTAACTCCCACCTAACCCTCATCTAACCCCCCTATAACCCCTCTAACCCCCTCTATCCCCCTCTAACCCCCTCTAACCCCCCTTACCCCCTCTAACCCCCTCTAACTCCCACCTAACCCCTCTAACCTTCCTCTAACCCCCTCTAACCCCCTCTAACCCCCCTCTAACCCCCCTTACCCCCTCTAACCCCCTCTAACCCCCCCTCTAACTCCCACCTAACCCCTCTAACCTTCCTCTAACCCCCTCTAACCCCCCTCTAACCCCCTCTAACCCTCTTCTGTGCTCACCTGTCTACAGTCCTCATCAAAGTGGCACCTCACCACAGGAGTCCCCTTGCCTCTAACACAGGAACACACCCTACACTTGGGTAGTCTGAAGGATTGTCCTAATGTGTAGCTCACTCCGGCCCAGGCACACTTCTTTTCTTTCTTTTCTTCTGGTAGGTATATTACAAATAAAACTTGGGTATATTTCTGTGTGGAGAAATATTCTATACACTCGTTTCTAGTCCGGTCTCGGTTTCATGATAACATTTGAATTACAATATTGCTGATTATAAACTTAGGAACATTTAAAAATCTTAATCTTTCTTTTCACTTAATTCACTGATATTTGAGGCGGATGTAATTAAAGTGTCGCTGATAATGACAAAGCGAAGTTGAGATAGGAGATAGAAGATAAAAAACCGGAAATTTCCTGATCGAATTACGATTCCTGGCAGTGGCACAGTGAATTACAATTTGATATTCTTAGGACAAGCAAATATAGACGTGATCAAACACGTGGTAGAAACATGGATCCCCAATCTATAATTACTCTTATAGAAAAAAAAATTTCACTTTCACTTTCACTTATTTCACTTTCACTTAAGCTCACCTTTACCCGGAGCACACCGTTCCCGTTTCTGGCAAAGAAACATCTTGTGAGGCTTGCGTCTGCAAATACAGTTGTGGCACTGTCCCAGCTGTATTGTGTGATCGTACTTTGCAAACTGTCCCTTGTAGAAACAACCGTACTTGTTCCTATATGTGGTGTACTTTAGTGGGGATCAATGTATAAAACAGTGGGGAAATGTATGAAACAGTGAGGATTAGTAAGTGTTTCTCCGATAAACTCTTTTCTCAATATGATCACCTCCAGGGAATTGTTAAACTAACGTAATATGAAAAATTAGAGGTAGGGAATTGTTAGGAAGTTATTGCATTCCACGATTTTTCTCAAGGGAGAGGCTAGGTCGACATTCGACGGAAAGCGTGTCATTAGCACTAAAAAGATGAACTAGTCGCAGTCACGCCTCTTAATGGGGAGGAAATTCCAAGACCATCACGTTTAGAATTTAATTGTGCACCGCAAACATCCGTGATCCTGTACACACTCTATAAATAACAATGGAAAACATTGTCCAACCACCCGCTGATCATAGCCATTCTCACATTCTAACAGATGTTGTTAACTAATGCAAAGTAGATTAAGTAGTGGGCGGTTTGGTAAGACACTAGTTTAAAAAACCGCAACACCTTTTATCTAACGTACTGATCATCTGATACTGTTCGCACGTGTCAGTGTAAGTAAGAGGGAGGGGTTAGGAGGAGGAGTTAGGGGGAGGAGGAGGAGTTAGGGGAGGAGGAAGGGAGGAGTTAGGGGGAGGAGGAAGGGAGGGGTTAGGGGAAGGAGGAGGGGATGGGTTAGGGGGAGGAGGAGGGGAGGGGTTAGGGGGAGGAAGGAGAAGGGTAGGGGTCAGGGGGCAGGAGGGGATGGGTTAGGAGAGGAGGAGAGTAGGAGTTAGGGGGAGGAGGAGGGGAAGGGTTAGGGGAATAAGGAGGGGAGGGGTTAGGAGGAGGAAGAGGGAGGGTTATGTGAAGGAAGAGGGGATGGTTAGGGGAGGGGTAAAAGTACCTGAAGACATCCTCAGTTTGATCTACGACCTTATCACTGTGTCCCTTACTAATCTCACCACTGTCAGTTGGTTCCTTCTGCTTTACGTAGCGTATATGTGTAGATATTGGTAGCTTTCTGTGACACCTGTGATTGTACAACAGTGAACAGTGTGATAATCAGTGGGCATCAAATGCTCAAATGGTAACCGTGGTAACGTTACGCCACTGGTCATGATGTAGCTGTACAATATGACGCAGTTAACATGGTACAGCAATATTACCCAGAAAGAAGCGTTATAGGTCTGAGGATGAGTTGATAATAATTTGTATTGTTTAGTAAATGCATAGAAAGATATATCATTGTAAGCGGAAAATATTCCGTGAAATGTGACCTGATAACAGGACTAGGCCCCACTTTGGCACACACACATGTTTTGCCGTGCTCCACTTTCACCACCTCCCCCGTGTAATAACCGTGTCCCTTGTAATGACATACTTTGTCTTTATCTTCCTGCACAACACATGTTACCAACAGATTTGGGTTCCAACTTGAACAATGAAGAGATAAATACAATTATACATTCATATATACAGGGTGGGCCAAAAGTCAGTACCCATATGTTGGCCTTAATAGCTCCGCCGTGTTTTATATTTGAGAGCTGTTGCTTTGCAGATGGCATACTGTACTTACTGGTTCGAGGATTCCGTCGTCAAAATTTGAAAATTCGAATATTTTAGACCACGCCCATTCAATATTAAAACACCTATATTGTTTTCTCTGAACATGCTGAACGCCTAATTTTTTCAGAGACGGTAGATTATCAAATGTTGCATATGATCTGAAAACATGAGGCAAAACAGATTAGAAATGACGAAGTTATCAAGCATTTTCTGTATCTCGTTAACAATATTGACTGGGTGATTATGTGACACCGTGACACGACACCTTAATTGGGCACCCTTAACAATTCCCATAATGTTTAACGGGGTAGTTAACGGGGGCACCTTATCACGTGATTAGGTAAACCAATCACCTGATCACACGTAATGAATAAACTCGTTATGCTTCATATCTCGGTCATCTGAGAAGCTACAGTTCTAATTCTTTCAGGACAAACGTAATTCGAATGGCCAAACACAATTCAATAACATTTAGCTTGATCCGACTATCCAAACTATCAAATAAATGTGAAAATGAACCTCCATTTGAAAAAAATGAACGCGAATATTTTTCGAGTTGACAAATTCCTCGAACCAGTGGTGGTACTAAGTCATACCAGAAAGAAGTATTTAAATTGGGCAATCAGTGACTGAGCTATAAAGGCCAACGTATGGGTACTGACTTTTGGCCCACCCTGTATTATATATATTATATACATATATATTATATATATTATAAATGTATATAGTATATAGTACATATATACCATGAGGAATATATTATATACAAAAAAAATCTGAATTCTAACCTCTGTGTTGGACACAACTTGAGTCTCGGCCCTACAAGCAGCAGTCTTATGACAGTAGAAAGTAGGGACTGCGCGGCGCGGCACGCACGTGCAGGACTGGCACTTGTTGACCAGGATGGAGTGGTAGAACTTTACTGGGTTTCCCTGAAACAGACAGTGAGAGCGGGAAGGGGAGATGAAGTCGGTGCTAGGTGTAGTGATAACGGGTTCTGTGGAGGCGAAGTTAGCTGATCTTTTGAGGCAGTTCTCGTCTGTTTTGCAAATTATTTTGCTGAGTCCTCCAACTCGGGTGCCTGGAGAGATTTGGGTTCAATATCGATTTCTCAGTATGATATACAGTAAAACCCCGATTTTGGGGATAGGAAACATCCGCGGTAAATCGGGGTTTACGGTAAATCGGGGTTTTGTTTGTTTACATTATGCATGTTAATAAGCCCTATTTGGGGGAAAGGAGCTATGGCCGCCGTAAATTATCGGGGTTTGCGGTAAATCAGGGCGCGGTAAATCGGGGTTTTACTGTATCTGCATATTCTCTTTACTATTTCCTTATTAATATCATTCAGTTTACCAGTGTACTCTAAGATGATAACACTGATTATAAACTCTGAAAGTTTTTAATAAAAATACTCACAAGAACACAGTTTACACCCCGCCACCAGAGATCTACCATACGGTATCTTATACCCTCGGTACAAGCAGTACCCTCTTAGACAGGCAATGTCTATCTGACACTTCACTGTTGCTGAGCTGGCTGTTCCATAGCAACCACACACCTGCGGGCAAGTCGCCAATTATAAACACAAACAAAAGTCACGTGATGTGATGACGTGTCGTGACGTGTTGTGATGACGTGACGTGTTGTGATGACGTGACGTGTTGTGATGACGTGTATAACGTGACCTACTACGGTCAAAAGAAATTTAAAAACTTTTCCTGTTCAACCCTCTAACAGTTTTAAAGTCGCTAGAGATTAGCGTTATAATCATGTGTATGTAGTGCACTGGACACTATGCACTGTAAACTATGCACTTATGCAGTCACCGTGTTTTCGTGAGGCCACATCATAAGTCCTAATGAATTGCTATCACCTTAATTTATAGAGAGAGTGCACTGTACCTCGACTTAATGTTGCAGTTCCTAACAATGATCCAGACAATTACATTAGATCCAGCAAAGCACCCCTGGTAATTACTACACATTACCCTTTAGACTTTACGAACCTTACACTTAGATAATAGATACTCTAGAGACAGCTCCAAAAGTAATGATAGTTCCCTGGTAACTGCAGCCCCTGGTATCTACTCCGTACCCTTTACTAACCTTACACTTAGAAACTCTAGAGACAGCTCCAAAAGTAATGATAGTTCCCCATGGTAACTGCAGCCCCTGGTGTCTACTCCGTACCCTTTACTAACCTTACACTTAGAAACTCTAGAGACAGCTCCAAAAGTAATGATAGTTCCCTGGTAACTGCAGCCCCTGTTATCTACTCCGTACCCTGAACTAACCTTACACTTAGAAACTCTAGAGACAGCTCCAAAAGTAATGATAGTTCCCTGGTAACTGCAGCCCCTGGTGTCTACTCCGTACCCTGAACTAACCTTACACTTAGCAACTCTAGAGACAGCTCCAAAAGTAATGATAGTTCCCTGGTATCTGCAGCCCCTGGCGTCTACTCCGTACCCTTTACCCCTCACTGCTGGTCTTCTCATATTATCCAGCAGACACTTTCTGGAGGTGAAGAGTTAGGTGAGGTTTAGTTTAAATGGAATTACAAATTTAGTTGATTGCTACTGAGGAGGGTATGTATACTGTCTTACAATTTGAGAAATACGTTTTATTCTGGGAAAAATGAATGTAACCTAAAGTTCATAAGAAGCGATTTCTTTTGCTTTTACTTGGAAGGTAGGTCTTCGGAGCAAAATCATAAATAAAATCTGGGTAGACGCAGATCGATTATAAAAATTAAAAATGTAAAACAGAGAAGAGAAGATATCACTAGTTTAACAATGAAAATAAAATCAAGTGTAAAATGTAAATAAGACCTGTTTACCTGTCAGTATGGCACTTGAGGTGCGCGAACCCGTTGCTAGCACTACAACTACACACGTTACACTTAGTAACTACACAGCTCGCACCAAACCGAACTAGTTTACCGTGGTAGTAGCAACCTGGGGTGAGAGAAGCAGGTGAATCAAGTTAGAGCAGGTTCTTAATACTTTCAAGTTTCAACACTACTATATAACAAATAATTTGAGGAGGTTCTCTAAAGATGATTTTTTATTCGAAAAATTTAAGAGCCTAAACTGTGTGTGATTCGCCTCTCCAAACAAATCTAAGGTTGTTACCGTGGTAACACTTGAACACACTTACCTCTAGAGCCAGCTTGGAACACAGACCCTCTAGATCGTACTACTCTAACTCCGCGGTAGTTCCTGGGAGTGGAACTTCAATTATTTGTTGTGGTCTAAAGCACATTATTCATAAATATTACAGATTATAAATTATAATGTCATATAAAACATAATAGAGAGATAATAGTATAGATAGTATCGATTTAAAACTTCAGTTTGAAAATTATTCGTTGTGGTCTAAAGCGCATTATTCATAAATCTTACTGACTATTAATTATAATGTCATATAAAAATTTAGCAGTAGAGATAATAGTTAAATGTTATCCTATCGCTTAGACTAAAAGTAACCTGTAAGTGGGTCCTCGCAGGACACAAGTTGTACCCCTGTTTATAAAATAGTGTGGCTGTCTTATGTACACTACTCTTTCAACCCTCCTTCTCCTGCGACACCCGTTATTATTTAGTATTGGCGGGGTTCATATCACATTTTTCACAATTTTTCTATGCACATTGCACAAGGAATAAAGACATTGCAGCAATTTTTACCTACCGAATTTCGGTATCGAAAGCCAGGTAATTGATCACCCTAACTGCATCTATTTCACGTTACTCTAAATACAGTTAAATAATGTCACTGCTTAGTATTCCCACCTCCTTATGTAGGTATAAACGGGACGTTTAGTAAAATAGTAGACAGGGACTCTGCGTCTCCTGATATAGCAGTATTTAATGTAGCACCGCCTCCTGCAGTGTGGCCGTCCTTTGTGTATCCTGGGCGAATTGTTTAGAAAACTTTTAGAAGCTTTGTAGTAGTTGTACAGCAATACTAAGGTAATAGTGGACTCTCGTCCTTTGTGTATCCTGTTTAGAAGCTTTGTTACATTGCAGGGTGACTTCAGTTCGGGAAATTCCCATCATTCCGTGATTAGTTTTTGGCATTCAATCAAAAATTGTCTACTTTCTCAGAATTTTGACAAAAAATGTATCATCTTAGTCTTACTTCTTATAATGCACCGTGAAGTCGCTGTACATATGACTATATCCGCATTCAACTTTAATTAATGCGGGGTGGTTATATATTTTTGTAATTATCTCAAAGCAGACTTTTATTTTCAAAACAGGACTAATACTTATAGGACGTATAGTAGTCCGTATAATAGTCCGTATAGTAGGACGAGCATACCTCCTACAGTCCTACCTTGGTCTACCTTTGTAGTAGAAGAGAATCTTGCGTTGTTTGTAGTGGATATAACCGTAGCGTACCGTCCGAGACGCGTCTACTCTCACCACTCCCCCGTCATGGAACGCACTGGACTGGGAACATTTGTGGTTGAAACAATATTGTTTAATTTAAACTGATTAAAACACTTTCTATACTAACCGTGGGATATGCGACCAGAATAGATTTTTGAAATTATTTACACTATGAGGGCCAAAGGTTGTAATCCAATTTGATAGTTTTTAATTTGCGATTGGGGAGGCGGATTATCGTTGTGAAGTACTGTACTACTCACGAAGTACTGTACACGATGTTTTCAACCCACGAGTCAGAGAGCAAGCTCAACTGACGGCTCCCAAGGATGTCGTATGCACATGTGTCTGATCAAGAATGTGGTTGGGCTGCGATTGTATCGACCATGAGTACCAAGCAAGCAGATATTTGAATTGACTAGATTTCCACTGGTAAGCGATTCGGAAAATCATGGGCCGGCATATTGCCGGGGCGGGTATGATCCGCCAACCTCCGAGTTACATGCCTGGTGCTCTACCAATTGAGCTACCGGCCCTATTCAGCTCAGGAATTTCTTGCACGCCTATCAGTAAGCAATCGTGTTGTTATCTCATATCTGCTGCTATTAGTACACTGCATTATATTATATATGAGTATTGCTGAAAGCACAGTGTAAGGCCTACACGGACCGCCTCTAACTAGCCAATCCCTGTTTACATGCCGTGTAGCAGGGGACTAGAAAGAGCTAAACTAGTAAGCGGGGAGTAGATGGTAAGTTGTGAAGGCCAGCCATCAAGTGACCCCCAGCCACTCACAGCACGCCCCCAGGTCACGTGACAGCACGTCACAAGGGTCACGTGACAGATCACATGTCATGTAACCACGTGACAAGCTCGTTAATTAAATGTCAAGGTCACGTGACAAGATAATTGACCAATGAGGAGCCAGAACGTCATGATGAATCAATCAATAACCCCGACTAAAGAATCTAAAGTCTGATTAAACGGTTGCCAAGCAGGTTCCTGTTACTTGATCACTGGTCACGTGTTTAGCTTAAGCATCATGTGACATGAATGTTATTTGATCCTCGAGATCACGTGACAGGAGTCACTTGATTACCCGTCAGAACGTCATGATGAATAATTCAATAATCCTGTCTAAAGGATCTAAAGTCTGATTAAACGGCTGCCAAGCAGGCTCCTGTCACTTGATTACTGGTCAAATGATTCTTCACGATTTACCCCGGTCCAGTCACCACTCCAAAAAAGCAGAGGGTGACATAACGAAATGTGGTGTAGGGTTACCATCGCTCGACCTCCTGGAAATTACAAGTCTTATCATCAATTTTCTGACATTTAAGCAATAGCTACAGTATCTGAACCACATTTTCACCCTTTAAGATATAACAACTGTTAGGTAGCCTAGTGGTTAGAACATCCGTCTTCTGCACAAAAGGTTCAGGGTTCAAAGTCGAGTCTAGGGAGTAGCTAAGGCTCCATACCATTCACTATTATTAACTATTAAATTTGCTTGTTATAAATTTGATAAATTTCGAGAGACAAATAAAGCTACCGTTTAATTGATAATTTGTTGTTGTCAACATTATAATCATAAATTGAAATCATCAAGAGTAAGATTGGGTACATAAATCATTGTATAACAGTTGCACGTTAATGGTGTTCTAGTACAGGTAGTTAGTTCCACCAACTACTTATTCAGATAAAGTTTGAGAATCTTATCGACAATAGTTGTGTTTTCGTTCATCAGTTTGTTTACATCAGATAGACTTGTAGTGGTGATAACTGCATCCAATAGAGATCGTTCTTCCAAACTTAAAATATCTGTTAGGTCTTTTCCGCTGTCAATTAAACGCTGCTTCAAGACAACAAACAATTCGGTTTTCATCATGTATGAGAATAAAATGTCAAAACATTTATTTTGCTCTTTACACAATTTACTTTGTAACAGGACGTCTAGAGATTTAAGTAAACTCGATATCTTTTTACTGTTTGGTTGTTTGATTGGTACTCCTTTCCGCTTGCCTACGTGTTGCCAGTCAGTATCAGATTCTAACTCTTTAGCACTATATTCTTTGTTGGACTCATCATCGCTACTTGTTACACCACTAAATTCATCATCACCACTACCTGGTACATCAGAGTTAGAACCACCTTGCTGAGATTCTTCAGAAACTATTGTATCAGCATCTGAACATACAGAATCAGGACCCTCCATTTTGACATCAGTCACATCTGAGTTAGCTTTTGACAGCGGCTGTAGAATTGCAGAACTTTCATCTGACTCTCGGTTCTCTCGATGATACCTACTAATGTGTGAGTACAGACTATATTTATTGGCAAAAGACTTGTCACAGAATGAGCAGGTTACAGAATTCATAACTGCAGTACAAACGTTTTATAATGCTATGCAACAACCATTATATAGCAATAATCGCATAAAATCGCAAATAATCGCAAAATAATCGCATATAATCGCATATAATAGCATATAATAGCATAAAATTGCAAATAATCGCATATAATTGCAAAATAATTGCATAAAATAGCATATAATAGCATATAATCGCATATAATCGCATATAATCGCATATAATAGCATATAATAGCATATAATCACATTTAATCACATATATAATCACGTATATTATCTCTTAAAATCACATTTTATTATTTATACTCGCAAATAATTGCATATAATTGCAAATAATCGCTTATAGTAGCAGGGTGAATATGATCCAACTTATGCATTCAACCTATTAAAGATCTTTTCAAAGATTTATTTTCATGCTGATTGCCAAGCATCATCCTTGAGATGGAACTGTAACTCTTGAGTCTACCAAAGACTGCACCCAACATGTAGGAATACTTCCTAGTGGGGATATTAAAGGACCACACCAGACAGGACAAGGAGATCATGGTAAATTCTACGTCAACTAGTTAGACGGAGATCATCTTCGAGATCTATCACTTTCTGGATTATCATTCATAACCAGTAGTCAGCGCACCATTGATTTCTGCTTTCAAATGATAACTGCTAATACTCTTATCGATTTTATTGCACAGAAACCAGCATTTGACTGGGACCGGGGCTGGGATAGCTCAAAATTGCTAATCCCGGTACCGGGATTCCCGGTACCGGGAATCCCGGTCGATTACTGGTGCATGCAACTGACCTTGTTTGGGTATCAGGTGATTTTTCCTGCAATTTGGTAATTGTGAAACATCACCTTGGATTTCTGTTGTCACAAAACGTACCTTTTTAGACCTTTTCTCAAAGCATATAATAGCATATAATAGCATATAATAGCATATAATAGCATATAATCGCATATAATCACATGTAATAGCATTCGATCACATATATAATCCATTGGGTGGGCGAAAATTGTCCCCCGACAGTTGACCCCCCGACAATTAACCCCCCCGACAATTGACACCTCGACAATTGACCACCTGACAATGTAACTCAATACAACATCACCTCATACCATACTCCTCACGGTTCTCTTGATCTAGGAAGAATGCACCTTTGTTGTGGTGTGCCGCACTCCACATGAATAGATTCCCGGAAAATTCAGATGCTCTCCCCATAGCTAGTGGCACAGACGGAAATCGAACCCGGGACCTTGTGAATGCGAAGCATTTCACAAGCAGGCAGACTAACAAACTGTGCCACATAGCCATTTATAACTATAATGTATTATTTTAAACTGACAAGCTCGTAAATGAAATGTCAAGGTTACGTGACAAGTTAATTGACCAATAAGAAGCAAGTACATCATAATAGCATCCGTCACGTGATATTCGTAACGATCTTGTTAAACATGTTTCACTTTTGTTGTGATGTGCCACACTCCACATGGACAAATCTCACGATACTCTTGATCTAGGAAGGAGGTACTTTTGTTGTGATGTGCCACACTCCACATGAACAAATCCGCTAAATACTGAATAAATGCCGAATACTGAATGAATATTGAATGAATACTGAATGAATACTGAATAAATACTGAATGAATATTGAATAAATACTGAATGAACACTGAATGGATACTGAATGAATACTGAATGAATACTGAATGAATACTGAATGAATACTGAATGAATACTGAATGAATACTGGATGAACACTGAATGAATACTGAATGAATACTGAATGAATACTGAATGAATACTGAAAATTATCGCAAATGATAGCATATAATATCATATAATAGCATATAATAGCATATAATAGCATATAATAGCATATAATAGCATATAATAGCATATAATAGCATATAATAGCATATAATAGCATATAATAGCATATAATTGCATATAATAGCATATAATAATAACATATAATCGCATTCGGTAGACTCAAGAATTACAGTTCAATCGCCAGCATATAATCGCATATAATAGCATATAATATCATATAATCGCATATAATAGCATTATATAATATCATATAATCGCATGTGATAGCTTATAATAGCATATAATAGCATATATAATCGCATTCGGTAGACTCAAGAGTTATAGTTCCATCTCCAACATATATTCATATAATTGCATATAATAGCATATAATATCTTATAATCGCATTTAAATGAATACCAATGGTTGTTACGTTTAAATTGATAAAATTAAATGTTTTAAAAGAGCGATCCATCTGGAGAAGTAGGCTAGGCGGGATTTGAACCCGCATTGTCCTGCATAGAAAAGTTGCCGTTAACTCACTAACCTGAGGCTCCAGCTGGACCGCTGTTAAAATGAAAATATGAACATGTTTAACAAGATCGTTACGAATATCACGTGATGGATGCTATTATGATGTACTTGCTTCTTATTGGTCAATTAACTTGTCACGTAACCTTGACATTTCATTTACGAGCTTGTCAGTTTAAAATAATACATTATAGTTATAAATGGCTATGTGGCACAGTTTGTTAGTCTGCCTGCTTGTGAAATGCTTCGCATTCACAAGGTCCCGGGTTCGATTTCCGTCTGTGCCACTAGCTATGGGGAGAGCATCTGAATTTTCCGGGAATCTATTCATGTGGAGTGCGGCACACCACAACAAAGGTGCATTCTTCCTAGATCAAGAGAACCGTGAGGAGTATGGTATGAGGTGATGTTGTATTGAGTTACATTGTCAGGTGGTCAATTGTCGAGGTGTCAATTGTCGGGGGGGTTAATTGTCGGGGGGTCAACTGTCGGGGGACAATTTTCGCCCACCCAATGGATTATATATGTGATCGAATGCTATTACATGTGATTATATGCGATTATATGCTATTATATGCTATTATATGCTATTATATGCTATTATATGCTTTGAGAAAAGGTCTAAAAAGGTACGTTTTGTGACAACAGAAATCCAAGGTGATGTTTCACAATTACCAAATTGCAGGAAAAATCACCTGATACCCAAACAAGGTCAGTTGCATGCACCAGTAATCGACCGGGATTCCCGGTACCGGGAATCCCGGTACCGGGATTAGCAATTTTGAGCTATCCCAGCCCCGGTCCCAGTCAAATGCTGGTTTCTGTGCAATAAAATCGATAAGAGTATTAGCAGTTATCATTTGAAAGCAGAAATCAATGGTGCGCTGACTACTGGTTATGAATGATAATCCAGAAAGTGATAGATCTCGAAGATGATCTCCGTCTAACTAGTTGACGTAGAATTTACCATGATCTCCTTGTCCTGTCTGGTGTGGTCCTTTAATATCCCCACTAGGAAGTATTCCTACATGTTGGGTGCAGTCTTTGGTAGACTCAAGAGTTACAGTTCCATCTCAAGGATGATGCTTGGCAATCAGCATGAAAATAAATCTTTGAAAAGATCTTTAATAGGTTGAATGCATAAGTTGGATCATATTCACCCTGCTACTATAAGCGATTATTTGCAATTATATGCAATTATTTGCGAGTATAAATAATAAAATGTGATTTTAAGAGATAATATACGTGATTATATATGTGATTAAATGTGATTATATGCTATTATATGCTATTATATGCGATTATATGCGATTATATGCGATTATATGCTATTATATGCTATTTTATGCAATTATTTTGCAATTATATGCGATTATTTGCAATTTTATGCTATTATATGCTATTATATGCGATTATATGCGATTATTTTGCGATTATTTGCGATTTTATGCGATTATTGCTATATAATGGTTGTTGCATAGCATTATAAAACGTTTGTACTGCAGTTATGAATTCTGTAACCTGCTCATTCTGTGACAAGTCTTTTGCCAATAAATATAGTCTGTACTCACACATTAGTAGGTATCATCGAGAGAACCGAGAGTCAGATGAAAGTTCTGCAATTCTACAGCCGCTGTCAAAAGCTAACTCAGATGTGACTGATGTCAAAATGGAGGGTCCTGATTCTGTATGTTCAGATGCTGATACAATAGTTTCTGAAGAATCTCAGCAAGGTGGTTCTAACTCTGATGTACCAGGTAGTGGTGATGATGAATTTAGTGGTGTAACAAGTAGCGATGATGAGTCCAACAAAGAATATAGTGCTAAAGAGTTAGAATCTGATACTGACTGGCAACACGTAGGCAAGCGGAAAGGAGTACCAATCAAACAACCAAACAGTAAAAAGATATCGAGTTTACTTAAATCTCTAGACGTCCTGTTACAAAGTAAATTGTGTAAAGAGCAAAATAAATGTTTTGACATTTTATTCTCATACATGATGAAAACCGAATTGTTTGTTGTCTTGAAGCAGCGTTTAATTGACAGCGGAAAAGACCTAACAGATATTTTAAGTTTGGAAGAACGATCTCTATTGGATGCAGTTATCACCACTACAAGTCTATCTGATGTAAACAAACTGATGAACGAAAACACAACTATTGTCGATAAGATTCTCAAACTTTATCTGAATAAGTAGTTGGTGGAACTAACTACCTGTACTAGAACACCATTAACGTGCAACTGTTATACAATGATTTATGTACCCAATCTTACTCTTGATGATTTCAATTTATGATTATAATGTTGACAACAACAAATTATCAATTAAACGGTAGCTTTATTTGTCTCTCGAAATTTATCAAATTTATAACAAGCAAATTTAATAGTTAATAATAGTGAATGGTATGGAGCCTTAGCTACTCCCTAGACTCGACTTTGAACCCTGAACCTTTTGTGCAGAAGACGGATGTTCTAACCACTAGGCTACCTAACAGTTGTTAT